CAGCCCTCTGAGACCGTCATTCGTCTCACATCCCCTCCCAGCAGCTCACGTAGACAATCACAGGAAGACCGTGTGCTGAGGACCTACTGTGCGCTGGCCGCACTCCTAAGCCCACTGGCTTCATCACTGTGCCCCTGTTTGTATAGAGGACAAAACTGAAACTCAGATACAAATTATTTTATCTGAAGTCACACAGCCAGGGCTCAAATCAAAATCTGACTCCGAAGCCCTTGTTGTACCTGGAGCAGACCACAGCCCTTCTTTCTGAGTCGGGGGCTTGGTGTGAGATGGGGGTGCTGAGGTCATCTGTGGCGACAAGGCCCAGGAAGTCTGCAATCCCACCTCTGCACAGCCGGCCCTCTCTGGGGGGTGAATGAAGAATAAGAAACTGCTTTGTATCATCAGCTAGACCAGTCCCCAAAACGCTAATGGGATTGGGAGTTCTGGCAAGTCAGGCTGGCTCACATGACCTAGAACCAGAGCCTGGGGAAGCCTGCTCCCTACCTGAGGCCATTCACAAGTGCCAGGAGCTTATGCTCTCTGGACAGACAGACATCCATGCAGGAGACCACGGATGAGTGTATCTCGAGCTGGCAGGGAAAGAGAACAGAAAGTCAGATGCCCATCTTCTCCTTCTTTGCAAAAGTGGGTCCTGGCCCAGCCGAAGACTTCAGCTCTGGGAGAGACACAGAAGCAGAAACAGCCGTGCAGCACTGCTCGTTAATGAACAGCCCAGAGTATCCCTGAATCGGTCACCATCAGATGTTTCCTCCAAACAGGAAAGAAGCAGGGGAGGTGTGGGGAGGGGGACACATACCCACTTCTCCAAAGTGTTTGAAAATTCCACAGTCCTTCTATTTCTTTCTTCTCCCCCGACCCACCCTCTCACCTCTGCATGAAGAAATAAAAAGCACAGGTAAAGGAAACTCCAGAGGTAGACATAAAAGACAGTGTACATGTATTATTGTTTGCAACTCTATTTCCCCCCGATATAAAAGGCCACTGCATAGAGCAAGAATTGTATATTGGTGCCAGTGGTCATAAAATAAAGATGTAATTTGTATGACAATAATGGCACAAAGGAGGGGAGAAGGAATGGAGCACAATTTCTTTTGTATCCTACTTAAGTTATTATTCATCAGAACTAGACTGTTATAAATTAAGATGTCAATTCTAATCACTGGGGCAGCACTAAGAATACTAAAAACTATATAGCAAAAGAAACAGGAGAATTAAAATGGCACACTAGAAAGGTAGGAATGGAGGAACTAGAGGAACAAAAAAGACAAGACATAGAGATAAGTAGTAAAATGGCAGATGTAAACCTACCTTACCAGCAAACACATTAAATGTAAATGGGTTAAATACTCTAATCAAAAGGCAAAATGGGGCAAAAACATGATCCAATTTTATGTTGCCTACAAGCAGCACACTTGTCATTAAAAGTCACAGATAGATTGTAAGTAAAAGGATGAAAAAGATACAACATGCCAATAGTAACTAAAAAGAGCCGGAGTGGCTATACTAATATCAGACAAAATAGACTTGAGGTCAAAAATTGTTGTGACAATTTTTAAACGTTATAAAATGGTATTCTAGTGACAATGAATACCATTTTATAAAGGCAAAAAGGGTCAATCAAGAAAACATAAGAATTATAAAAATTTATGCAACTCACAACAGAGCCCCAAAATACCAATACATAAAACAAAAACTGACAGAAATGAAGGGAGAAATAATTTAACAATAACAGTTGGAGACTTTACTCCCCCACTTCCAATAGTGAATAGAACAATTGGTCAGAATATCAACAAAGAAACAGAAGATTTGAACCACACTGCAAACCAATAAGACCTAACAGACATCTACAGACCACTCCACCCAAAAACAGAGTATACATTCTTCTCAAGGCCCATGCAACATTCCCTAGGATAGGCCATATGTTGGATCATACAGATCTCAATACATTTAAAAGGAATTAAATCATACAAAGTAAGTTCTCCAACTACAATGAAATGAAGTGAGAAATCAACAATACATGAACGTTTAACAACAGACTACTAAAAGCCAATGGGTCAAAGAAAAAAAAAATCACAAGGGAAATTAGAAAACAAATTAAGATTAATTAAAATAGAAAGACAAAACTAACACACCATTTTAAAGCAATTATACCCCAATAAAGATGTTAAAAAAAAAAATAGAAAGACAACATACTAGCACTGATGGGATGCATCTGAAGCAGGGCTCAGAGAAATTAATAGCTCTAAACACTTACATTGAAAAGAAAAACGATCTCAAATCAATAACCAAAACTTCCACCTTAAGAAACTAGAAACAGAAGATCAAATTAAACCCAAAACAAGCAGAAGGAAGGAAATATTAAAGATGAGAGTGGAAATTAATAGGGAATAGAAAAACGATAGAGAAAAATCAATCAAACCAAAAGTTGATTCCTTGAAAAGATCACTAAAATGGATAAGGCTTCAGCGAGAGTAAGAAAAAAAGGGAGGAGATTCAAATTACGACAATCAGGAATGAAAGGGGGCACATTACCAGTGATGTTACGGAAATGAAGGATTACAAAGGAGTACTAAGAACAACTGCACACCAACCAATTAGATAACCTAGATGAAATGGACAAACTCCTAGAAAAACACAAACTACCAAAACTGACTCAAGAAGAAATATAAGATCTGAATAGATTGACAAGTAAACAGATTGAGTTAGTAGTCAAAAAAACTTCCTGCAAAGAAAAGCTCATGATCAGATGGCTTCACTGGTGACTTTTACCAAATGTAGAAAGAAGGATTAACTGTAATCCTGAACAAACCCTTCTAAGAGGGAACATTTTCCAATTCACTCTATGAGGCTGGTATTACCAAAACCAGACAAGGACACCAGAAGACAAGATGACTACAGATCAGTATTTCTTATGAATAGACACAAAATTCTCAATGAAATATTAGCAAAGCAAATCCAGCAGCATAGAAAAAGATTACATACCACGAACATGTGTGATTACATACCATGAACATGTGTGATTACGTACCATGAACATGTGTGATTTATCCCAAGAATACAAGGTTTGTTCAACATATGCAAATCAATCAGTGTAACACCATATTAATAGAATAAGGGACAAAAGTCATGTGATCAGATCAATAGAGCAAAAAAAGCATTTGACAAAATCTAACACCCTTTCATGAAAGAAAAAACCCACACTCCACAAAGTAGGAACAGAAGGGGTTTTCCTCAACCTGGTCAAGGGTGTCTATGAAAAACCCACAGCTAGCATCATACTTAATGTTAGAAGACTGAAGGCTTCCCCCTAAGATCAGGTAGAAAACAAGGATGTCCACTCTCATCACTTCCATTCGACATTGTACCAGACAGTACAGCCAGTGCAACAAGGCAAGAAAAGGAAATAAAAGGCATCCAGGTTGGAAAAGAATAACTATCTCTATTTGCAGATGGCATGCTCTTAGATATAGAAAATACCAAAAAAAATTTCACACAAACCTATTAGAACTAATAAATGAATTCAGCTAGGTTGCAGGATATAAGATCAGTATACAAAAATCAATTGTATTTCTATACACTAGCAATGAACAATCAAAAAATACATTTAAGAAAACAATTTGATTTACAATACAAAGAATAAAATACTTGATAAATTTAATAAAAAAGTGCAAAACTGGTACACTGAAAACTATAAAACATTATTGAAAGAAATTTAAAACATTCAAAAAATTGGCAAGCTATCCATGCTCTTGAATTGGAAGGCAATATTGTTAAAATGGCGATACTTCCCAAATTGGCCTACAGAGACAGCACAATCCCTATTGAAATCCCAGCTGCTTTTTTTTTTTTTTTTGCAGACATGGACAAGCTGATTCTAAAATACAGAAATTCAAGGGACCCAGAAGAGCTGAAACAATCTTGATAAAGAAGAACAAGGTTGGAAGAATCACACTTCCCAACTGCAAAACTCACCGTAAAGCTGTAGCAATAAAGATCGTGTGACACCAGCATACAAATCAGTGGAATAGAACTGAGAGTCCAGAAATAAACCCTTAGGTGTATGGTCAGTTAGTTCTTTACAAGGGTCCCAGGGCAATTCAATGGGGGAAAGAATAGTCTTTTCAACAGATGATTCCCGTCTGTGTGGAGCCATCAGGGAAGGCTTCCTGGAGGAGGGGATCAGAAGGAGGAACAAAGTAGGAAAAGCACTGGGCAGCAGGAACTGGCTCGCGTTGTCTGCACACTCTATTAAGATCCCGTGGCCCTGGAGGGTGCGGAGGGCGGGGTTATACCTACGGTTACACAGGAAGGGACTAGGGTGAGAAGTTAAGCCACAAGACTGCCTTCCCAGAGCTGGAAAGAGCTAGAGCTGGGATGTGAGCTGCCTCCGCTCCTCTGCCCTAAGGAGGTCCCTCCTTCTTTCCACTTTCCCGCAGCTGCCCAGATGGGGCTGCACAAAATGCACATGTCCGTTTCCATTGTCCCACTTCAGGGATGGCAGGCAGGCAAAGACTTCTTGAATCTCTGACTTCCCCTTAATATTTTGCCTTAATTAGCTTGTTCTAAGGTGATGGCTTTCTGTTGTGTGCTTTTGAACTTCAGCGAATTAACGCTTGTGAATAGGATTTGCTTATGAATTTTAATGACTTTCATTCATTCATAGTCCAAACAAATTACATATTTGGTGCTTTATTTAATATGTTTATTGCAATTTTATGATAGTCATTTGCAATGAAACAGAATAAAATATTAATTTAAAGAGGCAGTCGCGGGGACTTCCCTGGTGGCACAGTGGTTAAGAATCCGCCTGCCAATGCAGGGGACATGGGTTCGAGTCCTGGTCCGGCAAGATCTCACATGCTGCGGAGCATCTAAGCCCATGCGCCACAACTACTGAGCCTGTGCTCTAGAGCCCATGTGCTGCAACTACTGAAGCCCATGTGCCTAGAGCCCGTGCTCCACAACAAGAGAAGCCCGTGCACCGCAACGAAGAACAGCCCCCGCTCGCCGCAACTAGAGAAAGCCCCCGCATAGCATCAAAGACCCAGTGCAACCAAAAAAAAAAAAAAAAATCCAACATGGGTCTTAAAGATCATCAGATTTTTATGTAGAAACAGATCACATGCAAGTTTCTAACAAGAAGCTACTAACAAATGAAATTGAGCACACGCCTCTCCGGGATCCTCCACCCTCCAGGTCCTGTACATCGTGTAGCTCAGACCCAAGTGCCCAACGGTGGTTGTACGGTTAAAACAACCCCTTCATCTTCCATCATTTCAGGTGCCTCAGCACCTGGCCTGGTGCCAGAAGCAGAAAATAGGAGGAGGACAAGGGGCTCGTCGCTGAGCAGGGAAAGCAGCTGGCGGGACTCCCCACAGCAGCCTGCTCAGATCTGGGTTGCGATAGAGGGGGGCCCTGTATGCAGTCTAGAGCATCAGGGAAGGCTTCCTGGAGGAGGTGAGATGAGTCTTAAAAGAGACAAAGTTGGCATGGACAGTTGGCCCAGAATCGTTTCCAAGGAGAGAAGATTAAAGATCACATCATCCAACTTGCTGATTTTAGAAATAAGGAAACAAGCTGAGAGGGGGAGTGAGTTCAAGGTCATGTGGCCTAATAAGGGTAAGATCAGGCAGGAAGGGTAGGACACACCGTGGTAACAAGAGTACCTAAATCCCGGCAGCTGAACCCCACAGAAGTCCACCCCTCACTCGTGCCCTCCCGCAGCGTGGGTGTCAGTGGGAGGCACTCTGTGGTCACTCAGGGACGCAGGCCAGCGAGGCACCATCTCCACCCGGCTTCCGTCACCACGAGAGGCGAACTATGAACTGGCCCCGGAAGCTCCCTCCAGGAGGTGACCCGCCCCGCGGCCACTCCTGTCTCCTTGGCCAGAGCGAAGCACGTGGCCACACTTCACGTGGCAGGTGGTGGGAGGTATCCCAGCGTGGCCTGGGGGTCGTCCCCTCCCCGCCCACGGCTGGGTCCTCTGCACACAGACACACACAGCGGCGGGCACTCCGGCCTCAGTGCCAAGCTCACACTTCAGGTTTCCTGCAGGGTTAAGCTCGGATGCAGAGGCCAAGGTCTGGAGAGAACTCCCCGGCACACAGAAGCACCCCACCCTCCCAGGAAACAAGGGCAGGCCACGGGGAGGCTGACTTACTATCGCAGACTGACGCCAAACCGCTGGGTGGGCAGAGGGGCCGCGGCAGGGCCGCCTTTGTGGGAGGGGGCAGCCTGCCCGCGTGCAGGTTCCGAAGCTCCTCGTCGTATCTGTGGACACAGAGGAAGCACAGCTGTGACCCTGCAGGCGAGAAGCCTCGGGCCACAAGGGGCTCCAGGTGCTGCTGGGGGCAGATGCCCCACAAAGGTCTGCAGGACACCTGAGTGTCCCGTCCTTCTGGGCCCACGTGCCTTATGGCTGTCTTGCACATGCACACACGGGAACACACACAAGCCAGCAAGGGTCATCTGACCTCTGTCAAGCGTCCAGGCTCTCTTACCAACCCCTGGCCAATACGTCACCCACGTGTCTACACAAGAGCTTCCCTCTGCAGGAAACACCTTTCCCTGGACTCTCGATCTAGCCAACAGTCCCTCTGAAACTCACTTCAGAAGTCACCTCCTCATGGAAGCCTTCCCTGATATCCCCTCTTCACCGGTCCCCTCCCTAGCTGGGTTCAGCCCCTCTTTCGGCTCCTACTGTCACCGGACTCGTGGCCCCACTCCCTGCGAGTGTCCTGTGGGCAGACACACTCCCTACACGGCTCTAATATCCCCAGCGCCTGTGACTTGGCGCCCAGAGGGAGCGCGACATCTCCACTCCCCCTGCGGGGCTGCCGGCCTCACCTGCGTGCAGCTTGGCGAGGACCCTGCACCCTCTCTGGGGGCTCCATTGAGCCCCCAGAGAGGGTGATGCAAAGGGCAGAGGGTGCTCAGGCAGGGCTCAGAGACTGAGCTCCACCCGGAGCTAACGGTGGGCCCGGGACCGACCACACACCTTCCTGGGCTCCCTCTGCCCACCTGATGCCCTGTCCAAGTGGGGGACCACTGCTGTATAAAACAAAGCAGCAGACACGTTGACTAGGCTTCTAGCCAGAAGCACCAGGTGGGCTGTCCTCCAGAACACCTGCAATGGGCCTGGGAACATTTCATGCTGTCCACGGTGTCATCCACACACCCGAGAAATCGCCCCCGTTCTCTGCTCCAAAACAAGAATGGTAAACACCAAGGCAGCGAACAGCAGTTACCGCCGTGGCTGATTTTTTTTTGTTAATCAGTTTTGCAGTGGTGGGTGAGGAACGCATCTCATCCGTGTACACAGCCATCCTCAGCCTCGTTGCTCTGAGTCAGCAGTTAGCATCTTTCACTGTGAATCTTTGTTGAGGCCGCAGATTTCGGAACCGGATCTGGCCGGGCACACGTCTGAAAATTAAGCCTTCAGCGTGCACGGGATGGGACGGAGGCCCAAGGAAGCTCGAGGGCGTAGCCCACGCCTCCCAGGACAGGGTCTCACTCACTGCAGAACCTCCGGGGGGATGGTCAGCTGGTCGTATTTGAGGTGTTCATGGAGCTCACTCAGATCGTTGAAATAGGTGACTTTTTTCCCAAACTTGTGACTAAAAACAACAGAAGCAAGAGAATAAAAAAAATGATTAGATGAGGGGGCCCGGGGGGAGGGGGCTGGCAGCAGGAGCCCTGGAAGAACAGTGCTGGCATTTCTCATATTAAGGAAACATAAATGCTGACACAACCTAAACCCAGAACATAATGGCAGCAGCGCACGTCTGCAGATGTTCCGCTTTCATAAGAGCTCGGATGCCTCACACACTCTTGAGAATCTCATCTGCATAAAAATAAATATCTGCTTCCAGTCTGAATGGCCGTGGATTTGTACAGATGTAGGAGAGCGCAGCGCCAGGAAGCCCTGTGCCCACGGCTCCCGGAGGGGCGCGCAGAGGGGCTCGCGGGGCCCGGTTTCTGGGGTGGGCAGTGGCTTCACTTTTGAACATCTCTCTGCGAGGCACATCTTCATGACTGTGGGGACCGAGCAAGACACCCTCTGATTTCTCCCCAGGACGGTAACCCTGGGGCCCACAGAGGAGCACATGCAGGCAAGTCCTGGCCGAATTCACTCACATCCCCTTGAAAGCAGGGGTTCTCCTACACAAGCAGTGAGACTATTTACATATACTTGTCCACTGCCTGACACCTGGTAGACATCACGACCCGGGACGATGACTAGTAAGGAGCCTCAGTTTACCCAGCTGAAAAGTGGGGAGAAGAACAGGAGGCTCAGCTGGGTGAGAAGTTCGACGCCAGGCCCAGCCTGCGCCTCGTGAACGGCCGCCCCCCGACTGCTCCGCCGTTTACAGCTTCACTGACATGTCACTGACACGCACGCAGCTGGATGTATGTCATGTGCACCATTCGATGAGTTTGGACATGTGTGTACACTGTGATACCATCACCACAACCAGGTAACAGGCGCAACCATTGCCTCTAAAGGTTTCCTTGTGCCCCTTCATGTGCGATGCTGTATGTGTGTGTGTGCGTGTGTGTGTGTGATACGAACACGACACGAGATGCACCCTCTCCAGGACACCTCAAGTGTGTGACACATCGTCAGCCCAGGCTCTCCTCTGTCCTGCAGGTTCTCTAGAACCTCCTCACCTTGCATAACCAAAACAGCTGTCTTATCTGAGACCCGCTGCAGCCCAGAGCCCACAGGAGGCCGAACCACGGGCACCAGCTCCCCCTAGTGCATGAGGGGGGAGTCAGACCGGGTGCCCAGGCCCCTAGCCACCAGCCCTGACAGAGGGTGCCTGGCATGAGCCGGCTGCGGGGACAGAGGTGTCGGCTTTAGAGCTGCAGGGAAGCCCCTCGTGCAAACTCCCGCCTACACAGGAGCCCCCTTCAGCTTTCTCTCTGCGTTTCTGCCTGTTCCCCCTCTGACCCCAAGCCAGCCAGGCATCTGTTGGACACCAGGCTCTGCAGATGCAGGCGGGGCCGCCTTCCTGCCTCTCACACCCAGAGAAGGGCCTCTTCGCAGCCCATCTAGGTGCTCAGGTGGACGAGCACCCCCAGAACTGCTCGAGGAGAAGACCCCAGCAGCCCCCGCCGCCTGCCAGCATTCGGCCGCCTGCACGGCCGGGATGACACAGTGGGATCTTTTCATTTGCTCAAAAGGATGTCAGCGTCTCCTTAGCTAGTTTGATTTCTAAACAACCTCAGAGTACCCTCCACCCAAAGCACTGACTATGTGACCTGCAGGCCCTTACACGTATTTACCCATTTATTTAATCCTCATAACAACCCCATGAGGCAGGTACTAACATACCCATTTTACAGAGGAGTCAGTTGAGGCTGGCAGAGGAGAACCAGTAAGGGGCAGAGCCAGGATCCGAAGGGAGCAGCCTGGCTCCGGAGTTCACCCTCTGACCCACACTGTCCTGCCCCCAGAAAGCCACGTACCCCCAGCCATCATCGGCTTTGCTGTGAAAATGATGCGAAGCTGACCTCACGCAGTACGTGGTTTGGGTTCAGCAATGTGGAAGCAACTTCAATGCCCAGATCTCCCAGGCACAGGTCCTTTGGACCAAGCCCTCAGGGACAATTCACTGAGCCCACCCTTCCCCGGACGGAACCCAGATGGAGATCTCTGACTTCACACAGAGAGTCCTTGAGCCGTTGAGAACGCCTCCTCATTCCTGAAAGGATGGTCGCTCTTGCATTTCTCAACTTTTTCAAGAAAGGAGAAATAGGAAGATGTCGTTGCCCGGCTCCCTTATCCACACTGGACACTTGTGGTAAAAGCAGACGCCTCTCCCCTGCCCCCGGGTTCTGCCCACAACGTGCCGAGTTCTTCTTGGGATCTCAACATGTCTGCGTGCACGCTCAGCGTAGGAAGTCATGAACTAAATCACTGGTTGAGCTTCAAGGACAAGGACTGGTTTCTTTACCCATCTCAGAAGTAGGAGCGCACAACTGGCCACAGGAAAGCCACCCGCTTGGATGGGGCGACGGAGGATGATGTCCATGGTGTCACTTTTTCCCTGAAAAGCCATGAAAAAGACTAAGCATTAGGGCTCATCCGATCATGGCCGAGAAGCCCATAGAGCACCTCTGAGTCAAGTAGAAACGGGAGCTCCTTCCTCCAGGCAGACGCCTTCCAGCGCAAGGTGAGAAGAGACCCGCTTGATAGTAGCCCTTCGTGTCAATGCCCTTGGGCAGTGAAAACCTACACAACTGTTCACGGCGGCCATGCTTACCACTTCCATCTGGTGGTGAAGGTTTCTGAGGCAGGTGCCTGGAAAGAGCACAACGTATCAGTTGTTGTCAGAGGTACTTTTTTTTGGACTGAGGTGAAATTCTTAACATTCACCATCTTAAAGCGAGCAATTCAGTGACACTTAGTACATTCACAACAGTGTGCAATCACGACCTCCATCCGGTTCCAAAACCTTCTCATTGCTCCAAAGAAAGCTCATAACCATTAGGCAGTCATTCCTTCCCTGCCCCGCCACTGCCAGTGACCCCACCTGCTTTCTGTCTGTCGGGGCTACTTCTGTCTTTACAAGAAAACAAATCCTCAACTCATCCCTGGCCCAGCAGTGGTACCCTCGGTGAGAGCTGACCCACAGGTCATGGATTATTTGATGTCGCAAAAGGAATAATCTGGCAACGGAACGTGCCCAGTCTCAGGGGACCGCAGGAGACGAATTCTCCGGGGTCGGGCATCCTCTGTCCTGTGTGCTCCGTAAACACACAGCGGGCTGAGAGCAGCGTCAGCTGCTCAGGAGGACGGGGTGGGGAGCGCCTCCGGGGAGGGCAGCTCACCGGCCGGGGTAACGGGCTGCCTGGGATTCCGGCTCGCCTCGCGAATTCCGCGGCCAAGCCCATCACGCGGCAGCAGTAGTGGCTAAGACCCTGTGGGCATCCGCTACCGGCAAGGCTCTTGCTGTCGCCATTCTATCTCCAGCATCTCTTGGAAGATTCTTTAACGAGCTAGGTTGGATGCCTGGGTCAGGGGTATTCTCATGAAACGAGCAGCCCAAAGGCTTCCAGATGCTCCTATGATCCAACTGTGCCTTTGTTCGCTTTGAGCCGCGGGCCCCAGGCCACGGCCGCTGGGCACCACGCTGTGGGTGGGCAAGTGGGGCTTCCACAGTCGAGAGGGAAGCGGGTCTGGAAGCAGCCCTGGCAGAGCCCCCGGCGCTGTGGCCCCCGAGCCGGCCCAGCAGCGGACGAGTCTGCCCCCCGCCAGCCTTTCCGCCTCTCTGTCCCTCACAAGGGCACGCAAACATTTCCAATGATGCCCAGACACGGGCCGGGGTTAGGCTGCTTGAGTGAAATGCAGTCGGCACGTTGTCAGGGACCACAGTCCGAGGCCCGGAGCACCCACACGAGCCCCACGGGCGCAAGAATGTCCCAAACGTGGGGCGCGAGGCACGCGGGCGCCTGGCCTCTGCAGGTAGCCTGAGAGGACTCGACCCCCAGCAAGAGCTGCTGGCAGGAGGGCACTTCGCTTGGCCTCAAGCAGCCTCGGTGGCGCTGGACCAGGAGCTGCCCTCCTCCCGGGCCAAGCTTGTCACCAGACCTGAGGCCGCCTGCTCACCCGGCTGACTCTGGGCTGCAGTCGGGACTTTGGCAGCTCTCAGGACACCCGAGGGACCCGGCCGGGGAGGAGGCCCCGGGAGCAGCGTGGCCGCACAGAGCGCGCAGCCCCAGCAGAGAGGGGCAGGATGGGGGAGGGGTGAGGGCAGCTGAGGCCACGGCAGGTGAGTGGGGGGCGCTGCCTTCTGAGCGGCAGGAAATGAGGCGAATGCAGAGGGCGGCCTGCGTGGCTTTAAGAGGGAGGCCGGGAGGGAGGGAGGGGGAGGCCTCAAAGGGCCCTGAGGGAGCTCCCTGGCAGCCTAGTCGTTAAGATGCCAGGCTTTCACTGCCGTGGCCAGGGATTCAATCCCTCGTTGGGGAACTGAGATCCCGCAAGCCGCATGGCGAGACCAAATAAATAAATTAATTAAAAAATAAAAGGGCCCTGAGTCCAGAGTTCAAGTCTGTGGACCTAAAGCCACCCGAGGCGGGGGGAAGACATCAGTCCTGCGGGTGGGATTGGTGACCTGGCACTGACGTGACATCCACCTGACGACCTGTCAGTCTGTCCATTAGCCTGTGACCTGGCCCATCCGCCCTGCGCTGAGAGTGACGGAGAGGCACCTGCACAGGGAGGGGGACACACACGGGAGTGGGGTGGGGAGGGCGGCCTACGGAGGGGTGTGTGCAAGGGGGGGCGTGGAGGGGGCACAGGGCAGACTTAGCCCAGCAGCCGCCTGTGGTTGAGCTCGCGAAGGGGGGGCGCGTCCGGCAGCAGCAGAGCACGATGACTCGGCTTCCGAGGCGGCCCTCCCCTGCAGGGCCGACAGCCGTGAGCCCTGGTCCCGGCACCGACACCCAAGGCTGCTGTCTCTTGCCACAGCTGGGGGCGATCCCCAAAAACAGCAGCCTCTGGACCAGCCCACCTGAGCCAAGAGGCACGGGAGGCTGCGCTGAGGTGGTGGCAGCACCTGCCGGACGGGAACCGACTACCTGACGCTCTGGGTACCTTAGGCAAGGTCACCTTCACCACCACAGGCATCCCCAGAGGACCCGCTTGCTGCCCGTGCCTGTGGCTCGGACGGCGTCCAGCAATCATTTACAGAGTGACGGGCGGACGGGTTATAGGAAAAGTGTCAGAACCTGCAGAAAATAGAAGGGTGCCCCTCCAGAAACGTCCGCGATTCCGAACTCACTTTAACTCACAGGGAACAAGTATTTACAACTGTTCTCAGACATTTACTTACAATGAGGAGAGTGACAGCAGAGCATCCTCATCACCGGCCGGCTCTGAAGGGCGAGTCAAGGTCACACACACGCGCACACACTCACACGTGCAGACACACACACATCACGTGCCCTCGGAGTCCCGCCTGCTGCCCGGCCAGGACAGCTGTTTGTTATTTATGACACGTCGGCTTCTCCCGGGAGCCTGCAAGCCACTGGAACGTTCAGAATTTGCCAGTCGTTTCGGTTTCCAAAGACGGCGGCCTTTTCACAGGTTCCTTGAGAATTCTGGTCATGGTTTCTGTTTGTTTAGGAAGCTTCCGTTGAAAGTGCCGCCCTGGAACCCACACATTTATCTGCTTCCCTGCCAGATGGGCATTTTCGGGCACAAAAACCTTCGACGGCTATGCCTGGGAAGTACAAAGTGTTTTCCACAGTGTTTCTACCAACTTGGAGGCCAGGGTTCCACGGCTCACCTGAGCCTGTGCTCATCTGCGAGAGGGAAGGGAAAAGGACGACTTTGCTTCTGAAGATATGAATTGTTTGTGCAGCTACTGAAGGAACATGGAATTGAATGACCCTGGGGCTGAAAGGGAAGTCAGCATCCACGTCGAAATGTCAAAAACAAAATAATGAGGAGCATTTTTAGCACTGGAATCAGACCAAGTGGAGAGTCTCAGGGACGTGCTAAGCGGTTTGGTGAACGGAAGCCCAGCTCTGGAGCGAAAAGACCAGGTATGGCCCCTGCCTGGCCCCACAGTCCAGGGGAGAGGACAGGGACGGCATGCGGGGAGTGTCTGCCCAGCTCTGCGAGCCCCTCTCTGAGAACCAGCCAGGGCTCTATCAGCCACATCCACATCTGCAGGGACTTCACAGGTGGGGGCTGCCGTCCGCACCAGGCCGGCCCTCACTTCAGACACCAGCCATGTGTCAGGGGTCCCCAGGCCACCCTGCTTCTGACCAGCTGCCTACAGACTCGGAGCTTCTCACTACCCCCCTCAAAACCGATAATTCATTGGCTCACAGAACTCAGGAAAGCGTTATACTTACAATTAGTTTTCTTATAAAGAATACAAATCAGGACCCGGCAAGAAGGGAGATGCACAGGGAGTCGGGTGGGAGGTCGGGGGTCCTGGCCATGGAACCTGTGTGCCCTCTCCCCATGCAGTCGGGACATCAACCACACATCATCACCACCAAACAGCTCCACTGAGCCGCCGTGTCCAGCGCAACTGTTGGGGTTTCATTACATAGGCATGACTGGCCGAACCACGATCCAATCAATATGCAGCAACCCATGCATCCACCCACGCATCCACACGTCCATCCATCCATCCATCCGTCCATCCATCCGTCCATCCATCCATCCATCCATCCGTCCATCCGTCCATCCATCCATCCATCCATCCATTCATCCATCCGTCCATCCATCCATCCATCCATCCGTCCATCCATCCATCCATCCGTCCATTCTATCCACGGGTACTGCTGATTAAATCATCGAGCTGCTTTACTGAGCTTGGTCTCCAGTGCCCCCCGAGGCCACAAAGCCCAAACCCTCTAGTCACATGAGGGGGTCTCTCCCGCACAGAATCCCCACGTGGAGTCGTCTCGTGAGCATGACTATCTAGGGGTCCTGCACGAGTCACCCCCTGACATAAACTATCACGAATCACTGAGATACTCCCATCACTCAGGAAATTCCGAGGATCGAGAGGCTACCTCCTGGGAACCGGGACAAAGGCCAGACACATCCTTTACTGCAGTGTCCCATGACCCTGCACCCCAGCCCACTGTCCGCTGTGCCAGAGGGGCCTCCACACACCAGGCTGGAGACGCAGCGAGAGAAGCAGCAGGAGCCAGGGCCTCGGATGGGGTACACCACCGACACGACACACACTCCCAGCTTCGGGGCCCCAACGAGAGACAGTGGTGGGAAGAAGGGAACGAGACCTACTGTGACGCGGAGGGCGAGCGACCCTGGGGAGCCCGCAAGGAGGGTAGGGACACGATCGGGGGTCACTGGAAGGCCCGCCCCGGTGCCAGCTGGAGGACGGCCAACGGCAGGGTGTCCCGAGTGGAGGCTGCCCGGTGGAAGGAAGTGGGGGGAGGCAGACAGAGACCTGCAGGCCAGCGATGGGGGGTGGGGAGCCAGAAGGCCCGTGCGGAGAGTGTGGGTGGCCGGGCTGCTCACTGGGGAGGGAACACAGGAGGAGGCGGGAGGGGGCCCCTGGTGGGGCTGTGGACACGGGCTGGGGCTCCAACGAGGACCCCTCAGGGAAGTGATGGCGGCCTGGCGGTGGACGAGGGGCCAGGAGGCCGGTGGGCCTGGGGAGCAGCTGCTCAGTGCGGTGGGTCGCAGGGAAGAGTGAGGTTCACTGACCAAAACCCCCCACCCTCCGTCCTCTCAGTGTCCTGCTGGCCGCGGTCGAGTGCCCCTGCCCTCAGGCGGGCACCTGAGAAGAGGCGGGCAGCTGAACGCCCACACCCCATGGCAGTGAGAGACGTTGGGAACAGAGCAGCCCAGCGCCCCAGGGACACAGAGAACCCAGGGAGGCGTGGACAGCTTCAAAGAGATGGAGGGACGGGCATGCGGACATGATGCCCCTGCCAGTGAGGGGCAGCATAGCCACCCCCGGGCCAAGGGTGAGCAGCAGGAAATTCCCAACAAGAAGTCGCACGTCAGGCTCTCAGAAAACCCGGGGAACCCGGTGTCCAAGAATGAGATCCCTCTGGGTAACGCCAGGACATAGTAGGTGTCCAGCAGAGGTCAGTGCCCTCCCCATACACTCGGGCCCCACTTCCCTCCCACCCACAGTTTCTCAGTTGTCCAGTGGCGGAGGGAGAGGCACCTCAGACCTACTGCTGATTAGGGGGCCCTGTGCTGGCCAGGCGAGGGGACGTGCTCCTGCCCAGACAATGGATGGGGTTTGGAAACAAGGGCAAAACAGGCAGGTAAGGGTCAGAATGATGAATTCCGCCCCCCGCACCCCCGAGGAGTCTGGACTCAGTTCAGCCAGCAATGGGGTAGGAGGGGCTCTGGCCAGGCTGTGAGCCCCTCCTGCCATCTGCAAACGAAAGTAGGGAGGGTCCCTGGGCAGAGCACAGCATGTGCAAAGGCACTGAGGCAGGGACGTATAGGATGCAAGGCCAGCGCCTACGTCGGGCCTGGTTCCTTTCCCCTATGAGCATCCTGTTTACAAAAAGCACTGATTTCATTCGATAAACACTTACTGAACACGTACTGCTTGCAAGGTCTACCCACTTGCACGAGGCTGAGCTACGAAGGTCAGCTACTCTTGAAGGCATTTTACCTCCCCCAAAACTGAAAGGGCAACTCACAGCACTTTCCTTCCACATCAACAGATTTCTAAATGTCCTGCCAAACTAATATCACAGCATTATTCAGATTCGACAAACTTTTATGCAGCTTAGAACAAGTGCCACGGTGGGTACATTGGGTTCCTTATGCTGTTCTCTCTACCTCTGATGCATTTGAAAATATCCATTAAAAAACATGAAAAAGGAGGGAGGGAGAGAGGAAGAGTCAAGGCTGGGCACTCGCCCGTCGGGACAGAACCCCTGCTCCGCGCACCAGCCGGGCAGCCCTGGGCCAGCCTCTCTGCTCGTCTACAACGTGGGGACAAGAGAACTGACTTCGCGGGGAGCAGGAAGGACTAAATCCACAGCTTGAATTAAGCCGTGCATAGATGGCACACAGCAGATGCTCAGTAAATGTGACCCGTTACCACGTGTCCGGCAGGAGGGTGGGTGCTTCCAGGTGTGCCGTCTCATTTGCGGGTGAGGAAATCGAGGCCCAGAGAAGCCACGTGAGACACCAGCTGGCTTCAAGGGCAGCACCCCCAGCCCGGCCTCCACGGCCCCCTCTGCCCCTGGGACCCCATGTTCCGGGTGGGGAGGCCTTCGCGCTCCCGCAGCCCCTGCGTTGAGGCCTCCTCCGCAGCCGTGAGGAGCCCCAGGACCCCCAGCCCTTCCGCTCACTGAACAGTCGCTGGGCATCTGCATTAACATCAGTCAGGATGAGTAGATGCCCTTGCTGCTCGCTGGCAACACAGGCCAGTGTATCGAAACGGGCTCCAAGATGATGATACGTGGGAGGAAATGAAAACTATCAATAAAATGCAGATTCTACAAGGCATCGGTTTAACTCACGACCCCTTCTTCTCCCCTCGCTGTTTACAACACGACATTGTTCACTGTCTCCGAGACAGGAGAAGCCCTGTTTATGCATAAAGGAATGATTCCCTGAGCTGAGACCCGTGACACGCCCACCACCATCCATCATCGGCTCCAGAGAGTGAAGGACGATTAAAACGCATAATAAAGGGGCTTCCCTGGTGGCGCAGTGGTGGAGAGTCCGCCTGCCGATGCAGGGGACACAGGTTCGTGCCCAGGTCCGGGAAGATCCCACATGCCGCGGAGCGGCTGGGCCCGTGAGCCATGGCCGCTGAGCCTGCGCGTCCGGAGCCTGTGCTCCACAACGGGAGAGGCCACAACAGTGAGAGGCCCGCGTACCGCCAAAAAAAAAAAAAAAAAAAAAAAAATTGCGTAATAAAGGCATCAGCGATCTCACTGGGACTAATGTGGGAGTTTGTTTAGGTTTTTATTTTAAGGTTGCTAACTGTTTTTTGCATGAGTGAAAGGGGATTTGAAGACTCGTTTTGTCTGTGTCCTGCAGGAAATCCCAGCTGGGGTCTGCATGGCTGTGAGAGAAGCTCTGGCTGTGAAGGTGGTGACTTGTCAGTCACCCAGCAGGACCAAGGCCGGCACGTCCCTCTGTTCTCTCTTCTTCGCCACTCGCCTCTAAGATTATACCTCCCACCGCCTCTGATCCGGGGGCGGAACTTTCCCTCTGCCCACCCTGCTTTCCAACATCTAATGTGCCTCTCAGCTCACAGCCCCAGACCCAGACTGGAGCTTCAGAAGGTGACCACCACTCTTTAAAATATTTTTTATTTTATTTTTTGGCTGTGCTGCATGGCCTGCAGGATTTTAGTTCCCTGACCAGGGGTTGAACCCAGGCCCTCAGCAGCGAGAGCGCACAGTCCTAACCACTGGACCGCCAGGGAATTCCCTAAAATATTTAAATCAACACTATCTTTTTAATTAATTTATTTTTGGCTGTGTTGGATCTTCGTTGCTGTGCGCAGGCTTTGTCTAGTTGTGGCGAGCGGGGGCTACTCTTCGTTGCGGTGTGCAGGCTTCTCATTGCGGTGGCTTCTCTTGTTGCGGAGCACGGGCTCTAGGCGCGTGGGCTCAGTAGTTGTGGCTCGCGGGATCTAGAGCGCAGGCTCAGTAGTTGTGGTGCACGGGCTTAGTTGCTCCGCAGCATGTGGGATCTTCCTGGACCAGGGCTCGACCGCATGTCCCCTGCATTGGCAGGTGGGTTCTTAACTACTGCGCCACCAGGGAAGCCCAGAAGAGATACTTTTAAATTTTCTTCTACTGGACCCAAACTTGAGAGGATGTGAGCCTGGAGTTACCCAAGGTCACCACATGGAACTGGAGGAAAATGAAGCCCATGGCAGAAGACAATGCAAGGGATGGAGAAAATGTCCCTAAAACACTGTGCACCTGGATCCAGCTGTACTTGAGTGCAAAGATCCAATAAACCCTCTTTTCTGCTTAAGCCAGTTTGGGTTATAGATGACCTGTCACTTGTAACAAAACGAGCACTGATTTTTTTTTCTTTGAAAGATCAGTGGTATTGAAACACAATGAAATCTTCCTCGGTATTCTCTACTTTAAGAGAATGAAGCGATCAAGCCCACACTGTTTTTCTTTTTGGTTGTGGCACAAGAAAATGAACTTCATTTCTGAAAACTCTTTGGGAGAGATCTGGCTTAGAACAGAGCTATGACGGCACCAATGGACATCAGCCCTGCCCTGCACTTAGTCCCGACCTCTCTGGTACCCATCATTTGCACCTCTGGTATCCATCATTTGCAGCTCTGGTACCCATCATTCACCCCTCTGGTACCCATCATTCGCATCTCTGGTACCCATCATTCGCAGCTCTGGTACCCATCATTCGCACCTCTGGTACCCATCATTCACCCCTCTGGTACCCATCATTCACCCCTCTGGTACCCATCATTCACAGCTCTGGTACCCATCATTCGCACCTCTGGTACCCGTCATTTGCACCTCTCCACCAGGTACGAGTGGATACATGGTTCTGTGATCCTTTAGTTAACATGACTGGGGGGCTCCCTCACCACCCCCACAAGGTGGGGCTTGGACTCGATCAAACGGGATCCCTGAGCACCATGCCCGGCATATACGGGCCTCCATAAATGCCGAAATCAAATGAGAATCAACCAGACATCACAAATAGACCCTTCTTCCTCGGCAGTGGGCTTCAGAGCAGCAGCTCCATCACCGCCGACCTGCCTTGCTCTCCACCTGAGTCCACACACGCCTCAACGCCTTCCTGAACCTCTTGCTGCTAAGCCCTTTCCCTCTGAGCCAGGCTCCGTGGCCCATGGATGGGGGACGTGGGCACCGAGGAGCCACCAGCATCGCGAGGCCGCGCCGGCTAAAGCCACGGACCGGGGCAGGCGCAACACAGCCGGCACGCAAAAGAGGCTTCAAATCACCCGACAGTTCTATGTATAATTCATAGCAAAATGGTTTGTTGTTATGAAAATATATTTGCACATTACACAAATAGACCCTCACAGCAATTATCTTAATGCTGCAGCTACAAATTATCACCTACTTACCTCGGGCAAATTAGCACCAAATTTAATTTGAGTGGCGCGGACGATGTGCGGGGCGCACAGAGCAAGAGCCCTCGGCCGTATCTGTAGGACCTGGCTCTCGGCTTTAGGCTCAGGATGGGGCGTCTGATACAGGGCTCTGCGGGAAAGAGAGGCGGGCTCAGGGCCATCCAGGCCTACCCCTGTATTTACAGGGAGGTCACGGAGACCCAGAGAGAAGGGGGCTGGCACAGGGTCCCACCTGGGTGGGGGGGTCAAAGTCAAGCCATGAGGGGCAGGGGCTGAGAAGGGGGCTGCCTGAGTTGGGATTCCAGAGTCTCCAGGTTGCACCCCATGAAGAGTCATTTTCACCCTTTTGTCTCAGCTATGTCACAAATTTATTTATACAGACCCCACTACCCACTCTTTATCACAAACACCACTGGGTCCCCGACACTGGTGAGAAGGCAGAGGTAGATCACTTGTGCAGGTAGCGGGGCCAGAAGCCACTGGAACCTGGGCGTGACACCCAAAGGTGGCAGCAGCAAGGTGCAAATGACCTGTGACCTGCTACAGGACTTTGTCAGGGGCCTGCCCACAAGCCCCAGGGACAGCGGGCACTCTGAAAAGACAAGGGGGGTCTGCAGAGAGACCTGCGGTTCTTGTAGACACCAGCCTCGAGACTTGGGGCCGTTCCCCTCCCCAGCATCCCTGTGGCCCTGCCCACGGAACCCAGGTGCTCGCTCAGGTGTGCAACCCTCACCTGCAGAGCCCTCCAGCTGCAAGGAGCTGACCCACCCCACCTCCCAGCCTGCCTGATTACCTAAGAGGAAGCCCATCTTCCCTCTCAAAGGTTTGTTGAGGAAGCCAAGTTGAGCCAGTCAGCACACGGCAACTTTCCTGGCCACAGATATAGGTTCATTCAGGCCCGTGAGGTATCAGGAAAAGCTTTCCAGGTGCTTCTGGGAAAGAAAATCCCTTGCTGTCCTGAAAGGGCCACTGGAGCAGTTTCTCTTCACATAGCTGTGTATAAAGATGAGGCCTAGAATGGCTGGAGCCAATCTGCTGCCACCCCGAAGATCCAGCAGCCCACGAAAAAGAGCAGGAAATTGCTCAGCCTTGATCAAGCCATACCTGATTTCCATAGCATCTCCAGACCATTTCAGCTACATGGGCCAATATGGCCGCTTGGACTTCTGGGCTGGTTCAGAGCTGGGTTTTCTGTCCGTTACAGTCAAAAGCGCTAGGATGCTCCCAGACCCCACACCTACCACAGGCTGGGAGAGGGGCTTCCTCCAAACTCTGGCAGCCCTCATCAGCCTTCACCAGGTGTCCATGTGTCCTTCTTGACCCATCACCGTGTGTTCCCTCACAGCCGGGGCCATTTCTGACTAACGTTTGAGCCCCAGCACTCATCCAACCCAGGACCTGAAAGGAACTTGGGGTGCCTGTTGAACAAGAGAGCAGGCAAAGCGTACACAGCAGAGCCTAGCATTCAAAGCCTTCCTGGCCCATCTCACCAACACCTCCCCCTGCCCCAGGTCACTCCCACTGCCCACCTTGCTCGCTCCACTGTCTGACATCCCAGGCTGCTCTGTCCCGGAAGAGGACACAGCTGGGGCCTCTGCCATAATCTCCATCATCCATACTCAGACCAGTCAGGTGGGGGGACCCTGGGTCCTCTCCTCTGAGGAGTTATTCCCTCTGAGCTTCAGGATACCCTGCTGCTTGATGCCCATTTGAGAGGTGAGAAAACGAGGACCCAACTCAGCCTGGTCTCCTGCCTTTCAGGGACCCAGAAACCGGGACAGTGGCCAGATCCAGCTGCCAGCAGCTCTGGGAGCCTCCAGGCAGATGGCTGGGACGGGACCCTGCAGCGGAGCCCCACATGGACATCTCTGAGGTCATCCCCCTCCCTCAGTGCCGGGCCCAGAAGGGGACCCTCAGATGTACCCTGGGCGGCCCGGGAAGCCTCTGGATACATGTGGCGCATCTTCCGTGAGCATCAATTTTAATCAAAGGATTGAGGGAAAAGTTAAGTAATTTATCTGAAAAGAAACTGAAAGCATCATTTTCATATCCCAAAGCTATTCTCACTTAGATTTGAAGGGCAGTCACTGGCAGGCTTGGAATGTCTCCACCCAGGAGACAGACCTCAGGGCCCTGGGAGGCGGCTGGCCCGGTAGGGAGGGCGCGAATGCTGCAGCCACAGCACAGCGGGCCTGGCTCTCCATTCACCGGCCATGTGAGCTCAGAAAGTCATCTAAACATCCCTGCCTCAGTTTCCTCATCTGTAAAAGGGGACAGTAACAGCCCCTGCCTCATGAGGCTGGTGTGAGTGAGGAATGATCCAATCAAGTGGACAGTTAGGGCCTGAGAGCCATTAGCAAAGGTGCCCGTGATGCTTTTGGGGAAGGATGGCCAAGGGCGGCCACTTTACAGGTCAGGAGGCTGAGTCCCCAAGAGGGAAAGTGACCTGCTCCAAAACTAGGTCTCTGACTCCCTCTGTGGTTCACTCTCCCCCTCCTGCTGCCTCTGTGCCTTGGTTTCCCCATCAGTAAAAGAGGATAAAATCAGGGAATGGGTATGCATGCCAGGCACTTCCAAGGTGGCTGAGCTCTTGCTGGAAGCCACCATCCATGGCGTGCCCACAACCGACTCAGCTGGAACTGGCTTGTTAGGGAGATGCCAAGATCCATGGGATGTTTAGTCAAGTTTCCAGACCTTAAAACATCTCACTGCAGCACCCATCAACAGATGAGTGGATAAAGACGTAGCATATATACACGATGGAATATTACTCAGCCATAAAAAGAAAAGCATCAAATATTGCCATTTGCAAAAATACAGGTGGACCTGGAAGGTATCATGCTTTGTGAAGTAAGTCAGAGAAAGACAAATACTTTTTCACTTATATGCGCAATCTAAATATTAAACAAATGAATACAACAAACAAACAAAACATCTCACTGAGGTTGCACTCCAGCAACTCAATGACATCAACCAAGTAAATTCCTACCGGCTTTACCTGACCACCTGTCAGGTTCTCCGCATGTATTTCTACCCCCACCTCACATGTGACTTATCCCCAGCCAACTACAGTTCCCCAGCCTCTGTGTAACCTCAGTGTGCCACACCCTTCCCTGCCTATCTCTCACCCATCTTCCAACTCAACGGTCACTTCCTCCAGGAAGCCCTCCCTGACTTCCCACAAGCCCCTGGCTTCCCTCTGTCACACAGAGGCTAGACTTTGAGTCCTCCGTGGACAGGGGACTGGGGAGGTTGCTGTCCACAAGGACTAGCCCGGCTCAGCCCAGTGCACTGTGTCCGTCTTCACCCCTCGGCCCCTGCCGTGCTGTTGGTTTGAGAAATGGTTTAACATCACTGCATTAAAGGAGAAACTCGCAAACAAGACCCTAAAACCACCAACAGAGAGAGACCAAAGGATATTTACTGTTGAGTCTTAGATTCTGAGCTCTCACCAGGACAAATGTCAACACTGCATTTCACCGTCAATAAGCAAGGCGTGCTCTGGAATCCACACAGCCTCCGTCACAAAACCTCAAAGTCTGCGGCCTCCAGACAGCCAAGGCCAGGTCCCCACCCCGCCGACAAGGACTGAGGAACTCCTCCCCTCCCACCCTGCTTCCTTCTCCTGGAGGCTTAGCCTCCACTCTTCACACACCTGCCAGGCCCTGGGGAACCCCCAAGCCAGTGCTGTTGACAGTGGCACCGGGCCAAGGTTTGGGAAAAGTGCAAGCGTCCAGGGCCTCTCCCCTAACTGGCGATTTTGGAGGCTGATTTAAGTTTTGGGCATATTAAGTCTTGGGGGGTCCATCCTCTGTGATGAGCGGGCCCGCACCCCCAGCCGGAGCCTCTGAGTCTGAATCAGCGTAACAACTGCGCAGCCTCAGTTTTCTCATCTGTGAAGCGGAGCGATGCTTCCTGCCTCCCAAGTTGGAGCTGAGGGAAATGATGTGGACCCGGCAGGATCGGAGACCCTGAATTTGGGGAGGAAAATGGGGGAACGGTGAAAGTTTGGGCTGAGACGGCCCAGCCGCGGGAGAAGCGAGGGAGCAGGAAAGGAGGGGACGGGGGTACAGGGAGGGTGCGGGGGAACAGGACTGGAGGAGTGGGAGAGGAGCGCGCGCTCGTGCAAAACGGGGGTAGGGTAAGGTAGGGGCTGGGGTGTGGGAGGGGCCGGGAACACGCGGCGGCCAGCGCGGGCTCCGGGGTCCCCGCCCGTCTCCGCGCCGCGTCATGTGGCCCCGCCCCCCTCCCCGCCTCGGCTTGCCCGCCTGAGCAATGGGCCCAGCCCCAGAACCCGCGCTGCGTCCCCACCTGGGCCCAGGCGGGTTCCTTCCCGCGGACAACGGTCCTTACCTGACTACAGCTCCGCCGGTGCCTCACCTGGGCTCGGCTCAGCCCGCGACTCACCTGGCCCCGCCCCGGACGTGGCTTCCGTGCAGGCCCCGCCCCTCGCCCCGCCCCGCGCGCTACCCAGCCAGCGCTGTTTCCCTGGAGCACAGGACCTGAGTGGCCCAGAGTCATTGCGGGCTATGCCTGCATTTCTGCGCGTGGGCAAAGTCACCGTTCCAGCCCTGAGGCGGGGGTCATGTACTCAGGAAAGACCAGGCTGGGGCCACTGACGTTCCGGGGCCCCAGGCAAGAGGGTGACTGGTCCTCCGATAGGATCGCATTCCCACCCGGAGGGCCGCTCAGGAGGTGACTTCTAAGGGTGGATTTCTATCAGGCCCGGTGTCTGGCGCCCCCTTCTGGCTGCAGCTCTGTCTCCGCTGCCTCCTCCCCGTCTCCCTGGTTTCTGAAGGTCGGCGCCCGGGTCTGGGGCTGCACCTCTTTTCATTTACTCCCCAGCCTCCTGCTTTCAATACAGCCTATACCAGATGATCCCCAAGCGTTGTCTCTCGACTCCAGCCTCCTGCCTCTGACTGCCCACCTGACATCCCCACACGTCCACGTGGCCTTCTCTCCTGGGCTTCCCATCCGGTTCTCCACCAGCCCCTTCCAAACCCGTCGGGGCATCCTTGGCTCCCCTCATTCCCTCACACCCCATGCGTGGTCCCTGGATGAGCCCCGATAGCTTTTCCTTCAAAACATGTCACAGTGCCACCGCTTCTGTCCACCCACGCTGGCCCAAGTGGTCCAGGCCACCAGCATCTCTACGTGGCTCAGTGCAGCAGAGCCTCCTAATACATCTCCTGGCTTCTGCCCTTGCCCCTTTCCATCTGTGTTAGCACAGCAGCCAGGGGCATCCTTCCATGCGATCCTGCCCTGCCCCTGCTCGTGTCCCTCCCGCTTCCTGCTCTTGGGGGAGGGGGCTGGCGCTAGCAGCTGCACAATCCCAGGCTGCCTTGCGTGGAAGGTGGCACGGCTGCTGGCAGCTCTGGGATCACGTGTGGTGGGCTCTGTGGTCCCCAGTGGCCTGTGTACAGCAGCCAAGACAATCAGGTGTGTTGACCCCTCCCCATTTCTAGAGGGGGGATCTGATTGCAGAGGCCAGCTGGCATAATATCACACGCTGCTACAGTGACTGGTTCCGGTTCCGGAAGTCACAGGGCCCAAGCCAATGACGCAGGCCTTCGCTGGGCCACAGTGAGCAGTTCAGGACACTCCAGTTGGTGGGAGGAGCTGGACTTTGCCTGGAAGATTGGGGAAGAACAAATCCTGCTCTGTCCTTTTCTCTCCCCCAACTTAGATGAGAAGCTTAGTGCACTGGGAATAGCAAGAAGCCATCGTGTGACCACAATGCGATCAAGGCTCGGGATAAAACAGAGATGGCAAGGAACTGGGTCCTTGGTGACCTTGCAGAGCCCCTGGATCAAACCCACCCGGGGGGCCCACACTTCCTCCGGACTTTCTCATTAAATGCACCAATAAATTCTCTTATTGTTTGAACTAGTTTGAATTTTCTATTTCTTACAACCAAAATGCCCTCTGATAAAATATCTTTATACCTTTTAGCCAAATTACAAAGAGTTTCTCTCCTGACAGCATTAGCAGAAAAAAAAAAAAAAAAAGCCCAGGGAAGCCCTGGATGGCTGAGTCCAAGACACGTGACCATTCCAGGGATAGGAAGGGAGTTAGACAGACCAAAACTTTATCCTCCCCAAAGTCAAGACAGTCAGCTTCAAGCCAGTCGTGCTAATGGTAGCCATGAACCATGAGGCTGTTTGCTCGCTGCAGTATCTCCAGTGTCTAGCCCTGGGTCCGGCACATGGTAGCCACTATCCCCAATCAGTATGAATGAATGAATGACCACTGTTTCTCTCTACCGTCACTCAAGCAGCTGCCTGTTTCTGTGCAAAGAATTTGTAACCATCCTAGCACATGGGCCTGTTCACCTCACACAGCACACTTGCGTGTTATTTGTACCTTCCTTGCTCCCAGTGGACTTTGGTGGTGAGAAAGCGGAAGCATCTATGGTACTGCCTGACCTCTAAGTCTCACGCATACCTGAGCCCCCCTCGATGGATCAGGAAGGGGGCCTATTTCTGGGTCGAAACTCTTCTTCCCTCTCAAAACTTGACAAGGAAATCGAGAGGATGCCTAATGCCAGGGACTCACACTTGATGGGTTTCGTCTAGTGCTTTGCGCTGGTTTCTCTTTTCCTTTTGTGGAATGTAAACACCTTTTATTATCAGTGTCAGATGGGTCTCATGAAAGCCGGACAATTTGCAGGTTTTCTGGTTCAAAAAGCGACTTTGGACAGAAGTAAGAGAAAACACCCCCCAGATGGTCTACGGCTGGCAGACCACCACCAAGACATGTCAGGGGGAATGCCACCCTCCTCGCATTTGTGTTTTGTGAAAATCTCATACAAATTCCGCTACCATAGCTTAGTGATATTTAAATATATACAATAAAGCAATCATACAGAATGATTGTCAGGAAAAGAATGCAGGTGTATCCTGCCTTTCATAATAAAAGGAAAAAGAAGTAGAAAGAAACTGTGAGACCCAGGCCAGCTCCCTTTTCGGTTCTTCTGTTTTTGCCCAAGCACGTCTAATCAATAACCCACCAGTTAGTCATTTCCTTTTGTAGCTATAACAATAACCCCTTGCATTTCAAATGCTTTGCTATAGAAAAGAAAGAATAATAATGCAAAATGAAGGAATTACATCTGAATGGTATTATTCTCAGCTTTATTAAATTTGCTCTCGGTACAAATGTTTATGAAGTCGGAGAGCTGCTTTTCCCCCAAGCAGCAAATTCCACATCAATAAGCAGTGGGGGATGGGAACTTGAAGGAAGGAGCAAAGAAAAACCCCTGGTCCCTGGTCTTGGACTTCTCATTTGTTTTTTCCCAAATTAACTCTCCCTGCCAGCTGCTTGAGCCAAGATGTGGTCTGCTTTGAACCTTATTAAAACCATGAAACAAAAATAGGTTGAGCCAGAAGGCATCTGGGAGATCGCATTCCAACCCTCCCCCTTAAGGGCGCAGACCAGCGAGGTGAGGGGTTTTCTCTGCTGCTGTGTAGCCAAGCCAGGAACCCCAGCCAGGTTTCCCGACTCCCTGGCCTCCTATCATGTGCCCTGGTCCAAGTTTTAGAGCAAATGCATTTGGTTGTTAGCGTCGACTGCAAACTGCAAACCACTTCTCTGCAAACTGAGTACAACCCACATGCACGCTCCACGATGTCTTCTGTGATTGCTTGGACCTAATTGTTGAAACTCTTTTGATCTGAAACTGAGCAGGTGACATTCTTGATGCCTTTTTGACATCAGGCTGGAACGCTGGTTGTGTCCCCTGACACCGTGCACCTTTCAAATGCCCTTGCTGTATTGGGATTCCCTGTCCTACCAGTCTCTCCACCCGAGGTGGCCAGACCACGGGTTTACCCAGAGTCCTTTGCAGTCAGGACCCAGACATTGACTAGGCTCCACCATTGCGACCTACACCATAAGAGAGGAGGTGGCCCTGCAATTTATTATGGGAAAGGGCAGCCTCGGATGTTCAGCTGGGGGTGGGGGGTGGGGTTGACACTGCAGTGGGCACAAGTTTAAATACCTGGGACGTGATTGCTATTGGTGCTGGTGACAGTTGTGGGTTTGGTCCAGTACAACCGGAGCATCCTTGTGTGGTGGGAGCATCTCTACGTGGTAAGCGCATCCCTGTGTGGTAGGAGCATCTCCGAGTGGTGGGAGCATCTCTGTGCCATAGCAGCCTCTCCGGGCAATGGGAGTATCTCTGTGGGGTGTGAGTATCCCTGTGCAGTGGCGCGGTAGTGGCAGTTTTCCCACCAGGCCTGTCCTATGCGACTGTTTGAGGCATTTGGAAGGTAAGCCTCGAGCTTGGCTCTCCCACCTCCTGACAGCTCTAGGAACTCCCAACATCCCTCAATAAATTCCTTCTCTGGGTAATCAGCAGAATCTGCCGCCATTGCTTGCAGATAAGAGCCCTGCCTTATCCTCTGCATCCTCCTGTTTCGCGCTACCTGTCCCTCCTCCCCTGCCAAGCACAGGCTGCCGTAAATCCCCCTAGTGAAGAGAAATGCCAACGTGAGAAATTCTTCTCGTGATGACGTCGATGATGCTTTACATTTTTATAGCTTTTTGCAGTCTGTTAAAGCAGTTCTGAGTTTTCTGCAAACATGTCTGTCAATGAGGAGAAGCGTTCTTGGGTGAAACCATCAGTTTATTAAGTCATTATGACCTTCAGGTCAAAATCCATTAAGTTCTTGTCGGGCCCCATACATCGTCATCTGCACAGAGTTTCTTTCTTTCTTTTTTTTTTTTTTGCGGTACGCGGGCCTCTCACTGCCGTGGCCTCTCCTGTTGCGGAGCACAGGCTCCGGACGCGCAGGCTCAGCGGCCATGGCTCACGGGCCCAGCCACTCCGCGGCATGTGGGATCCTCCCGGACCGGGGCACGAACCCGCGTCCCCTGCATCGGCAGGCGGACTCTCAACCACTGCGCCATCAGGGAAGCCCTACACAGAGTTTCTTAATCAAGGATGCTTGGTATCTCGGGGTTTGTGATCTTACAGCCCCTGCTCTGCCTGTGTCCATAGTGTACAGACTAGCAGAGAAATATCATCGGTCACAGAATATTACATCTGGAAAGATCCTCACTATGGATGAGGAATCTGAGAATGTGTGACTGGCCCAATATTACACAGCAAGGTAGTGACCAATTCAGGATCAGAACCCCGGGTCCTGGCTCTGCCCACGAGGGGTATGCAGCACACATAAATAAATAAAATGCCATACGCCAGCATCAGCCTTCTCCCCATCCGCAGACGACCTTCCTCTAGAGTGTTTGGGAAAGAGGAGTGTATCAGCTAGTCATGCCAGGTTATGCTGCAGCAATAAATATCCCCAGTCTCCCGGGCTTACACCAGATTAGGTCTACTTCTCACGCACGCTGCCCGTCCACAGCCCCCTGGGACCCGGCCTGCCGGAGCAGCCCCATCTGGAGAGTGCCCATCACCACACAGAGAAAAGGAGAGCTCTGGAGGGTCTCTGCCTGGCAATGAAAAGACCCAGCGCCAAAGGGGCCCTCTGCTCAGAAGTCGCTGGCCAGAGCTGGTCACAGCACCCCACCCAGCCCCAAGGGGACCAGGAAGTGTGGCCCTTCTGTGTGCTCGGGAAGCAGGGAGCAGGAGACCATTGTGATTTTAGGGACTTATCTTGAGTCTGTGCCCGTTGCATCCCTGGCACATGCTCCTCTGTCCAGCAGCCTCCCCACTTCTCCCAGCCTCCCCAAGAGTACTGCCCACTTCACTGCTGGACACGCCTGAGCTTTGGGAACACAACTCCCTGCTGGAAGGCTGCTCCCCTCCACTCGGGCCCTTGCAGAGGGGCCCACACGGGCCGCCCACACTCCCCAAGGCAAGCGCTGCGGAACTGCAAGGAGAAAGGGAATTCTTCATCCCCCCTCCCCCCTTCTTCCTTTCATTCTTGTGTGTGTGCACGCGTGCGTGTTTTAATGTGGTAAAATACACGTAACATAACATTTACTGTCGTAACCACATCTAAGTCTACAGTGAGTGTTGTTAAGCGCACGGACGTTGCAAAACCGAAACTCGGGACTTCCCTGGCAGACCAGTGGTTGAGGCTCCGCGCTGCCAATGCAGGGGATGCGGGTCCGATCCCTGGTCGGGGAACTAGGGTCCCACATGCCGTGTGGTGTGCCCCCCACACCCTCCGCCAAAAAATGTTTTAAAAAAAGAAAACTGGGAAGATCCCACATGCCGCGGAGCGGCTGGGCCCGTGAGCCATGGCCGCTGAGCCTGCACGTCCGGAGCCTGTGCTCTGCAATGGGAGAGGCCACAACACTGAGAGGCCCGTGTACCGCAAAAAAAAAGAAAACTGAAACTCTGTCCCCGTAAACACTGACTCCACATCCCCTCCCCCTGCCCCTGGCCCCCACCATCTACTTTCTGTCTTGATGAACTTGACTCCTCTAGGTGCCTCGTGTAAGTGGAATCCTACAATATTCGTCCTCGTGACTAGCTTGTTTCACTTAGAAAGGTTCATCCCCGGTGTAGCACATGGCAGAATTTCCTTCCTTTTTAAGGCTGAGTCATATTTCATTGAATGGATGGACCACATTTTGCTTATCCACCATCCACTGATGGACACCCTCCCCTCCTGCATCTATACATAGTTTTCATTGCTGTCCCATCACATCAAGGACTGTGTTGCCAAGAATATAGGTCCTGGGGACACACACACACACACACCCCAACAGCCAATTTCCCTTCCTCCCTCCCCCCCAACCCGGCAGGAGTTCCCGACTCTACCAGCAATGTTCCTGGAACCAGCTATCCCTTGAGACTGTGGGCCTCTAGGGTGGTGGGCAGGGAGCCTGTATCCTGTGTGCCCTTTACTCCCTGAAGGGCTGAGTCCAGCTCCTCTGGTGGGGAGAGGAGGCCAGCAGACACTGGAGGGCGTACAAGGTCCCAGCAGAGGGGAGTGTGGAGGTGGGCGGCAGGGTCTGGAGTGCAGCTCTCAGACTCCCCGCTGCCTGGGGAAAGAACTTGGCAAAAGCGACGGCTTTGTGCTGGCTAACTGACCTCGGAGTGGCGGTCAGCCTCTCTGCGACAAATCGGCTTGTCACCAGCAGAGGTGGGGACTGTGCTGACGTCACACCCAGCGGTTGCTGGTTCCACTCATCGCCACCCCGACCCCGGTCAGCAGGTGACCTGCAGGAGATCTGTCTACTGATGAGTTAATAAGGCACCACCAGTCACACATTTTAAAGAGACCTTCAAGGTTGTACGTCAGCATAGTTCGTTTCCTCGTCATCCTATGCATTTTATTGTGAAAACACTATTCTAAGACTGTGTCCCTGGGCTTCCCAGGATGCCCGAAGGACATACGCAGGGCAGGTCAAGACCCCCCCGAGGTGGAGAATGGCCCCCACTCAGTGCTGATGGGGAGTCCCCAAGTGTGTTTTTTAATAACATCTTTTTCACTTCCCCCAGATCTCCTGGACGTGCAGCTCTCCGTGGCCCCTCGTACCCCCTTCACCGTGAGCACATCCTCTCCACAGCGAGCACCCCTGCTGCAGGTTGCTGGACAGACGGGACAGACGTCCTACTCTGACCTCAAGGGATGTTCTGCCATCTGCTTTTTGGCTATTTCGCCTGAAGTGCCGTTGACTTTCATTATTTAGCGGGACCTTCCATTCCAGATGCCTTCGGAACACCCGCCTCAGACCCCGAGCACAGCCAGAATAGCTCACAGCACGCAGACCCCCAGCATCTGGCTGAAATGCAGATCCAGCATCAGCAGGCGTGGGCTGGCCTGAGACTCTGCATCTGAGAGGCAAAGGCGAGCGTGGTCATCAGGGTCCCCTGGAAGACCTACAGCAAATAAACCAGAAAAAGACAAAAACAGTGAGCTGGTCTCTTGCACCCCAGCCCTGGAGATGCAGACGGACCATCCTCTGAAGAAGGCTCCCCTGCTCATGCTGAGGCCGGATCAACCTTCAATTAACTGAGCAACCAGCGTGTGCTGGGCACTGACCTGGGGCTGAGGGCTCAGTGGGAACAGGGCAGGGGGGCCTCCTGGCCACATGGGGCTGCCTTCTTGTGGGGAGAAAAGCTAATAACAAATTCATTTCTTCCAGAGGGGTCTCCCATGAGCTAAAACCTCCGAGCCTCTCTCGGGCTCTGGTCCCTTATCCACTGTCTCTTTCCACTCTGCTCTGAAAGAAAACCGCACCACATAAGCTTCCAACCGCACAGTCCGTTTCCACCCTTAATTACAGAGTGACAAGTGCCGTGAATGGGTGGGGAAACAGGAGGTGGGGCGAGGACTCGGGGGTGGGAGGCGGGTAGGCCGGTGGGGCGGACACAGGGCCATAGGCCGGCCTTGGCCACAGCTAGCTTGGGGCTTGGCCTGAGCTCCCTGGTGGCTGAAGTGAGACACGGTCGGTGACGTGACCTTCACTGCAAGGTTTGGGTCTCGGCTGGGACACCTGGGCTGCATCTTAAACCAGGGCCCACACGGCTGTACGTGACGGTTCTGTAGATTTGGGGAGACCAGCAATAGCTGGTTTTCTATCCGAATTTATGTGTTCCCTGGTCCTGATTTTTCATTTGTAATTTATCAATTTATAGCAAGGTGTTTTGATGTAGAGTACCTCAAACATTTTTCGAACAAGAGTGGGTTCAACACATGGACACGCTCAAAGCCCACCTTGATGGGATACCCCTTTATGGGGGGAGCGGGGGCAGCCCCAGCTGGAGGCCCCGCCTGGGTGTCTGGAGCTGCTGCGGGACCCAGGCTCAGCAGCCACCCCCTCCCCGGGTTCTGTCTCCCCACTGCTGGGAAGGTACGGCTGGCCGGTGTCTGGGGCTCCCCTTCCGCCCGGGGTGGAGGGATTGGTCAAAAAGGTCAGGGCCCCCCGCAGACAAAGGTCATGCCTGGGCGTGGGGCCGTGTGCCAGCAGAGTCCCCAGGTATCAGAGCAGGCCCAGCAGCCCACGAGGTGGCAGTGCTCGATAGAGCCCCCGACACTCGGGAGGTGAGGGCAGGACAGGGCCCAGTGCCGGGGCGGTGGCGGGGGCGGATAGAGCCCAGGCAGACAGCCCCCTGCTACAGCCTCTGCCCTTTGCCTGGTCCTTCCGTCTCGAGGGGACCCTGCCCATAATACTCCCCACCCCACCCCAGGCTCAGCCGGTCCCAGGCCTATCCCGGGTTCCGTAAGGGAGCTGGGAGCCAAGCAGGGCGGTTCAGGGATCTCAGCCCCATCAGCGCAGCTGAGTGGCCACATGCTCGTTGGTCCTCAGACCGGGGACGGGCTTCTGGCCCCATCCCCCACCCCTGGCTCCTCCGAGGCCGGCTCACTTCCGCTCTCCCGGCCACGCCCCTGGGCACCTTCCCCCTTCTGAGCCACGAGGCCCCGTGCAGTCAGTACGTCCCAGATCAGACCACGAAGCTTCGCTCCTACCCTGCCATCCCCCGCGCACCCCTCCCTGGGTTGGAGCAGGGGCTCCTGGCTCGCTTTTCCCACTCGACAGGAGGAACTTGTCCCCCCAGGTGGCTCCCCCCGCAGACCCCCGTGGGCTGACGCTTCTCACCAGGCGCCCACCTCCCCTCCCCGACCACCCGACTCCCAGCAACCGCCAATCACCGGCTCACGCGCCCTGGGTCTGTCCTGTTATCTGCCCGTAGGGCACCCACACCCCACCTCCAACCAAAGGTTAACTCCACGAGAGGGGAGCCCTGGGAACGGGGTCGGGGGTCTCCCCGCCTAGCCCGGAAGGCCCCCTCCAGAGGCCCAGAGCCGGCCCTGGGAACCTGAGCCCTCTGGGAGCGGGAAAGGGAGACCCCAGTGAGGCCGGGTGCAGCCCGAGGGTGAGGACCCTGGAAGAACGTCCTCAGGGCCTGGCATCGCAGACACAGCTCGAGAGCCGGGCAGACAAGTTTTATTCCACCCACTTCCCACCCACGGCCACGCCAGGCCGAGCGAGGACGGGCTGCGTGGAGGGTCTGGGACAGAGGTGCACACAGGAGGTCACGCTGTGGCCCGAGGCGAGTGGGGGGCGGGGAGGCAATTCTGCCACTGACCCTGGGGGGTCTCTCTGGGGGCCTGGCCGAGCTGAGGGGTTCACAGTCTGCATGGTGTGGACACTGGAGGGCTGAGCAGGCTGGGGTGCAGGGAACGGCCAGGTCTGCTCCACGCACAGGAGGCTGCCCTGCACCTGCTGAGCCCCTGACGCCCCAGAACAAAGGTGCCGGGGTCTCGGGCGGCGACGGTCTTTTTGACAAAGACTCAGGAATGCCAAAGTGGCTGAGGCCGACGGGGGACTGGACGGGACAGAGTAGAAAACTCTCGCACTCACGCACTGCACAGGCGTACACGCGGGGTCAGTAAAAACACAAGGCCTGGGTCACACGACACTCTGCCGGCCCCCTGCCCCCTCAGACTCAGACGTGCCACAGCCGCCGCCCCGCCCAAAGTCAATGAAGATCCCTTCCGAATCCGAGTCGACCGACTCCAGGATCTGGTCCACCAGGTTCTCGGGGCTGGAGGAGGCTGGTGAGCTGCGGGCCGGGCCTGGGCCAGGCTCAGGGGGCTGCGCTGGGGGGTACAGTCTGCTGGGGCAAGGCCCCGACGGGGGCGCTGGGGAGGGTCTGAAGGTCCCAGCAGGGTCCTGGCCGGGTGTGTCAGCAAAGCCCTGGGGCTCGGGGCAGGACGTCATCTCGGAGACCGAGTGCCTGCGGATGCCCGTGCCGCCGGCCACCGCACCCTCGGCCTCGTGCTCCGCCACAGGGTTCAGCAGTGGCGTGTTGTAGCTCTTGGACCGCACCACCGGGTTCTTGGCCAGGATGTCCCCCGATCGGGAGCGGCGCAGGAAGTGCTTCTCTGCATACAGACAGACAGACAGGGCATCAGGCAGGGGGCCAGGGTGGGGCTGGCCAGATGCTAGGGAACACCCACTGCAAGCACCTACTTTGCGCCCAGCTCTGCAGGAAGGGACCGCTACAGGGAAAAGCCCGACCGGTGTAGATCCTGCTGGGGCAGCCTGGAGGGGAGTTGGGGTTTCCACCCCAGCTGATACTAGGTCCATCCCTACGTGACCTCCTTCTCTCCTCGGTCTGGCCTCTCAGCCTGGAATGGGGGCGGGGGGCCTCAAGTCAACCGCCTGGGTTCAAACATGCACCTTGCCAGGGACCTGTGCACGTGCCTCAGTTTCCTCACCTGCGGAAAGTCAACAAACCCAAGCACTTGCTAAGGGCCAGCACTTTCTTAGGCAGACACAGCCCCTGTCCTCAGAGCTGGAGTCCTACTGTGTGTGTGTGGGACTAGAAACTCCTCTGGGTGGGCCACAGGTCGGGCAGTGGCAAGTGCCCGGATGGGGCAGCACATGAGGTCAGGGCTGGGGTTTATTCTGAGTGTGGGGGGTGACCCCGGGGGTGGGAGAGGACGGATATAGGGGCAGGTCTCAGGTTCCCACTCAGGACCCTGCAGTTCCAGAGTTGACCACCAGGTGGCAGGGCTGAGCGGGATGAACCAGAGGCTGTCCTGGACCACAGGACAACAGGCTCCCTCTTTGCCTGGCAGGGGTCTCGGTGTCCAGGGCCACACAGACCTCAAAGTTCCTCCAGCTGCTGGAGCCCCGCCGGAGCTGGGACATGCTAGCTGGGCAGGTTTTATAACTGCAGGTGGGTGGGCCCTCTGGACGAGGGGACACTCCTGATGAGCTCTCGTACCGCTGTCCCCTTGGTTCTCTTCATGCATTTCTTCCCAGGCCTGGATCCTCCCTGCCCTTCAGCTCCCAGTCTGGCCTTCCCTGAGCTCCCCGCCCATGGCCCTCATGTCACCTGGGCACTGGTCCCCTTGGGCGCTCATCTGGGGATGGTTTACTCATTGGTCTGCCTCCCCTGGTGGACAAGAGCAAATGAGGGTGGGGCTTGGTCTCTGCTGAACCCTCAGAACCAAGAACAGGGGCTGGCGCACAGTAGGTGTTCAGTTTACAGTGCTGAACGAACCGACGGGGCCAGGCAGCCCCAGGACGTCCAGCCATGCCCACTTCACAACCCCTCCACACCCCCCCGTGAGTCCCCAAATAGGCCAGGACTTCTTGGGCTCCGGGCCTTTGCACATGCTGGGTCCTCTCCCTCATCAACTCCTGACTTTCAGGACTGAGCTCGGATGTGACCTCCGTGGCGGGTGCAGGGGTCTCTGCTGGGCTCTCAGGGGAGTCACTGCAGCACCACTTGTGACGTTAGCCCTTGAAGGAGGGACCCCACGTGACCCGCCCTCTGCCCGGTGCCCCGCACACAGCACGGCCGCTGGATGCTCAGGTCAGGTTTGCCGTGGCTGCACATCTGGTTCTGCATGACTCCCCTGGGAGGCCTGGGCCCCCGACCGGGCAGAGGTGGAGGGGGCCAGGGGTCACCCTGCTCCCACCCACGCCCAGGCAACGCCTACCCAGGATGCAGGAGTGTGTGAAGGCACCCTCGCTGGAGTAGAGGCCGTAGGTGCCCAGGTAGGGCGACACCACCTTCTGGATCAGCGTCTCCAGGCGCAGGTAGTCCTTGGTCACTCCCCGGGACTCGTGCACCCCCTGCAAGAGGGAGGGGTGCGGGGGTCCGCTGGTCGGCCTGTTCCCTGCCTCCCTAGCCCAGCCGTGCTTAGCTCAAAGGCCACCACGAATGGCGCCCTCCCCCTCCCCCGGGGTCCTGGCCCCCATGGCGGTGGCCCCGCACCCTCCCTTCCCAGCCGTCTCTCGGGTTGGGGCCTCTGAGCCACCCACCGGCTTTAACACCCTCGTGGCTGCCTGCTGCACACAGGAGCCCGCGTGGCTGGGAGACCACGATGCCTGCGGGAAAGGGGTCTGCGGCCAAATGAGGCTGGGCACCCTGCACCTCCCCCTCGGGACAGTTGTGTGTCCCCTTCCGTGAGCTGGCTTCCCAGAGGCTCTGGGCAGTCCTGGGGGGCCAAGCTCATTCACCTGGACCCACACCCTCACTCCCTCGCCCCAAGGAGCACTGTAGGCAGGACAGGCTGCCTCCTGGGCCAGGCCCAGGTCCAGGTCTGTATCCAAGCTGAGTGGTCAAGGCCCGTCCATCTGATAGAGCCGCCCCTCCCCCCACACACTTCTTCCCCGGCCAGGCACTGTCCAGCGCCTCCCAACACCTCCCAACACCTCCCCTCAAAACCCCTTTGAAGGGTTTTCCACCCCTCCCATTTCACTGGAGCCAAAGCCTGGAAAATGAGGCTGCCCACGGGACAGCCGTGGCCTTGCCCACTCAGCTGTGAGCTGACCAGGAGGCAAGCTCTGGGTCCCCAGCGCCCCCGGCAGAGGGCCGGGCACACAGCAGGTTTTTAGCGAGTGCTTGCTGAACGAATGATGTCTCTGAACGAATGAATCATCCCCAAGGGGCTGCCAGCAGTTAAGAAGCAAGATACACCCAGGTTAACGTCGAACGACGATTCAAGACAGCGAGAACCCAACTCTGTGCTGCCTACAAGAAACCCACTTCAACTATTAAAGACACACACAGACGAGAAGTAAGGGAGTGCAGGACTGTATGTGAGAACACAGATCACAGCACGAGGAGCCATGTCAATTTCAGACAGGACAGACTTCAGACCAAAGCAATCTATCAGGGATAAGGAAGGTCATTACCTAATGGTAAAGAGGTCACTTCTCCGAGGTGACATAACAATCCCTAACGTGTACGGACCTAACACAGAGCAGGAAACTACGGAGGCAAAAAGTGACGGGGCCGCGAGGACAGAGAAATCCATCCTCCTAGCTGGAGGCTTCAACACCCCTCTCAGAAACAGATCCAGCAGGCAGAAAATCAGGAAGGACACAGATGAACCCAACACCACCGTCAATCAACTGGATATAACTGACATCTATAGACAACGTGTCCAATAGCAGAATCTATATTCTTCTCAAGCTCACGTGGGACATCCTCCAAGACAGACCACGTTCTGGGCCATAAAACACACCTCGACACATTTCAAAGAACAGAAATCGTACAATGTCTGCCCTCAGACCACCAAGAAATTAAACCAGGAATCCGTAACACAATAATAACTGAAAACCCCCAAACACACGGAGATTAAACAACTCCCTTCTAAATGACACAGGGGTCAAAGAAGAATTTTTAAATATTTTGAATTAAATGAAAATGAAAACGCCAACGTCCAAATTATCAGGATGCGTCGAAGCAGTGCTTAGAGAGAAATTTATAGCACTGAATGGACACATTAGAATATAAAGAGTCTACAAGCAGTCTTGTAAACTTCCACCTTAGGAAACTAGACAAAGAAGAGCAAATTAAGTCCAAAGTAAGCAGAAGAAAAAAAATAAGAATCAGCAGAAATCAACGGAATTGAAAACAGAAAAATGGATGGAGAAAATCAACAAGAACAAAAGCTTTGAAAAGATCAATAAAACCCACAAGCCTCCAGCCAGACCAGCTGCGGACAAGAGAGAGGGAAGACCCAAAGGACTAACGTGAGAAACGAAAGCGGGGCCATCACTACAGACCCACGGATCCAGCTGTGTTTGGACAAGGAGGGGGTGGCCCCGGAAGTCATCCAGATGAACCTGGAGGAGCCGCCCCCGCCCCCAGCAACAGTGCCGTGGATGAGGATGGCGTTACTGCTGAGCTGTGCTGGGCGTTTCACAAACGTTGTGTCCCTTCATTCCCAGCATTTGTTTCTGGTGTCTGGTCTCTGCTCCCCATTGCCCGGTGAGGAAATGCGGGCCCCGGGGCTGCATTATTTGTGTACCACGCTCAGATGCAGGGCTGACACTCAGCTTCTGGGACCCCGGTGAGAAGGAGCTTTGATTCTGCACGTGAAGCATGGGACACATAGTAGGCCCTCAAAAGATATGCTGACCAGTAGCTGTGACCTCAGATCCATCTGGGACTTGAAAACAGTGGGGACAAGTTCACCGCAGGGCTGGGACAAGGCCATTCAAAGTGGAGGCCAAGGCGAGAGCAAAGGGTTGTGGTTGGGGGTAGGGGTCGCACCCAGGAGGGGTAGAAGGACACTCTGGGGGAAAATGGGGCCAAGCCCAGAAGCTGCATGAGGCACAGCGACCACCAGGGGGCAGCACTACCCCGGCCTGGCCGCCACCCGGGTGCTGTTCATGGGATCAAGATGAGACCTTATTCCTTGGCTTGAAATCCCAGCCTCATCACTTCCCGCCCCCAAGGGGAAGTGCACCATGGAGGACTTTGTGTCGATTTCTCCTCGTTATCCTTCGAGGAAATAGGCCGAGGGATGCAATGTCCCGCCAGTCGCTGCCCTGCGTGGCCGCCAGGACGACCACCGGCTCCCACCGAGTGTGGCCCCTCGACCCTTCTAACGTCCACATTCATCAGCCCCTTCTTTGCTCTGGAATCTTCAACCAGCTGCCCTGGGCCCCAGGACCAACCTCACAGACATAAATTTAGAAGGACTTCCACGTGCATGGGTGGGTTCAGGACAGTGAACAGGGCTGGGAGCCTGTCAGCCTCAGGGAAGGCCAGGCTCCCAGCCATCACAGCTCCGGGCGAGTGAGGACTCTACTTCCCCACCTGTAACATGGGGTGGTTGACGGTGCTCATCCTGGGGCTGTGACAGTGAGACAGGCTGGCAAACTGTAGGGTGCCGTGCCCGCCACAGGGCTTGGGGCGCAGCAGTCTGCAGAAAGGTCCTTCGGAAATGTCTGGAACTGCTGTGGGGAGCGGGAGGCGGTGGCCCCCAACCTCAGTGACTGACCGATGGGGGAGTAAAGGCCTGGCCCCGCTGCCCTCGAGGGACACTCTGTCCACACTCCTGGGCTCCCTGTGGGCTCCCGGGCCGGCCTTCTTGTGAACGAACCCACACCTTCGTCCAGCTCCTTCTCAGCCCCCGCTGCTTCCTTCTCCCTCCCAGGTTTCTCCTGGGAGTCCCTCCCCACCCCCGCCCTCCCCCACCGTTGAGAAGTCACGTGGCCCCACACCCACATCTCAGGCTCTGTCTCCGGGGAGCCTGGGACATGCCGCCTGTGCCCGTCACCGGGCTGAGTGCAGCCCCCACGGGCCCCGCGCACCTGCAGCACCAACAGCATCTGCACGACGGCGGGGGGCACGCGGGCGCGGGCCCGGGCCAGCGCGTCCTCCAGCTTCACACTGAGGGTGATGATGTTCCGGAAGTGCAGCAGAGCCAGCTGGCGCACCGACGGCTCCTTGCCCTGCAGACGTGGGGGCCGCCGCTATCACGTGAGACCCTTGCTCCCCTGCCCCCACCAGTTCTGGGGCCAGATACAGGGACGGACCCCCAGATCCCCTTCCACCCTGTCCTCCTCCCCAGATGACCCTCGTTCTGCGGAGAGAGGGCCCCACGCGGCTCCCTCAGGCAAAGGAAGGGTGGCTGTCACGCACAGAGCCCCTACTGCGGGCAGGGCACGGCCTGCTGTGTGCTGCTAAGGGCTTCCCAAGGTTCTGAGCATGGAGCTGTCCTTATGCCCGTCTTGGGGGTGGGGAGCAGGTTCTGGGAGGTCCGGGGGCGAGCGCAGGCGCAGATGGCCCACACGTGGCAACAAGGGCAGAGGCGTGCCCACCCCCAGACCAGGATCGGCTGTCCCTGTGGCCCAGGAGCCGCTCACCTGCACCGGGTAGAAGACGGCCTGCAGCGTGGGCAGCACGTCGCTGAAGAAGAAATCCCAGGTCTCTGCCAGCGAGTCCAGCAGCTTCTGTCCTGTGGGCACAGGGACCGTCACCATTACCCCAAGGGGCGCCGGCAGATGCTTCCCGCCTTCCCAGGTCGCGAGTCACCTCTCCTGGCAGCAGGAGGACGCGGGAGCTGAGGGCCGGGCCCTGGAAGGCCCCCCCACCTGCCAGGGTAATGGGCCCGGATGCCCAGCTTCACCCCCCTGAGCCTCAGCTGCCCCACTAATAAAACGGGGATGTAGCAAGGCGAACCCCTCAGAGCCGACAGGAGGAAAGGAGATGAAGCAGGGCCTGGGGCAGAGAGGTGCCGGTGGGTCCGTTTCCTCTGCACACAAGCCCTACAGGCACAGCCCGACGGGTGCTCCACTCACACCCTTGTCTCATCCGCCCTCCCCCTCCTTCCGCCCACCCATCGGTCTGTCCCTCTGTCCACCTGACAGACATTCACACAGCAGCTATGCTGTGCCAGGCCTGGCACTGGGGACCCAGCTGAGCCCAAAACTACTCCAGTCCCACCACGTGACAGGGTAGCGGGACAGTGAACAGCCACCCTGGCGAGGGAGGAGTGACCCCCAGCGGGCAGATGAGGTGCCTGGGCCTCAGAGGTGCGGGTCTCTGCCTCGAGGGCCTGCGTCCCCACCACCCAGGCTGCCTGGGCTGGGATCTGGGGAGCCAGGGAAACCGCATCCAACAGCAGCAATGGTCCCAGGTACGAGAGGGTCACGCAGGGAGAGCTTCCTGGAGGAGGTGATATCCAAGCTAATTCAGGAGGACCGTTTCGCCTGGTGGACTGAAACCCTTGGCACATGAACCATGGAAGTACACGGGTGGAAAGCAGGCATTTGGACAAGCTCTGTAGGCCTTTCTGCCGGCTCTGGGGAAGCAGCAGCACCAGTCACAAGGTGGACAGACCCTGGGGGTGGGGACAGCTGAGGTGCCCCCCAGCCGGCTCTGCGCTCCCCCAGGAAACGCCAAGTGCTGAACCCTCAGCCCCTCTGCCTGGAAGGAGCGGAGAGCTGGGATGAAAGACTGCTGGGTCAGGATAAGCAGGCCTCTGGGACATGTCGCCGAGGCCTCTGCTGCTTGGCGGGACCCCACCTGGAAGCCAGACTAGCGGTTGGCTGGAGAAACACGGCCGTGGTGGTGGGCATCCCCTGGAGTGGAGGGGCCAGGGCCACGGGCTGGCCAGCCTCCCAGAGCGCACCGCCCATGCCCGACTCCTCAAGGTTTCTGTGGGAACCAGGAGGTCGGTCAAGGGCCTTTGCCTCTTGTGCTCCCTTTTCCTGGGCTCTGAGCCCCCCAACCCCTCCCCCCCATAAAGCCCCCGGGTCTGTGTGGGTGCCGGGCTCTGGGAGGAGAGCCTGGTGGGGGTGACTGTGGTGAGGGCGGGTCCACCTTTCCATGCAGCCCGTCTGCCGGCACTGGAGCACCCTGGCTGGCGGCCAGCTCCTGGTCCGACCGGGGGCCCACAGCCCACAGCGGGCTCTATGGAACCCAGGACGGTGGGTGCCCACCACCCGAGGAGCTCTGCCTGCATACAAAGGTCCCTTGAGGTCCCCGCCGTCACCGGAGAGAAGAAAGGCGGCTCAGTTCCCCAGGCGGCCGTGGGGCGGCTCTGGGCGCGGGCCAGGCGGCGTCTGCGGAGCGCAGGCTGCTCTCCAGCCCGCGGAGCGGAAAGGGGATGTCGTACAGTCCAGGCCCCGCCAGAGCCACACGCCGACCAAGGGGCCAGGAAGCTCGGCTCCGTGCCCTGGCTGGGCTCTCTGCTGCCCGGGAACTGCGGTCTGGGGACACCAGGGTCGGCAGGGGTGAGTCAAGCACACGGCGTCAAAGTCCCGCCCTGGGGCCCCAGGGGGTCCCTCAGCCCGAGCCTCAGTGGGGTCCTCTGTAAAATGGGCGTGATCAACGTGTCCACACTCAAAGGCCAAAAGCTACCCTGTAGCAAGTGCTCAGCTGTTAGCCTGGCGCTGACTAGCGGGCCCGCGTGGTCTGAGGCCGCGCCGACGCTCAGGACACACGCCACCCAGCGGCCGTGCCCTTGAGCTGGATCTCCCAGGATGGGGCGTGGGTCAGCCTGTCTGTCTTCCTTTCTTCAGTCCGACTGTGCAGGCCCTGGAGACGGGAATGCACCAGGCTGATCTTAGCTCAGATCTCAGTGGTGACCACAGGGCAGTTGGAAAGGCCACAGCAGGGGCTTGGAGGAGGGTGGCCAGGCTCGGAGGAGAGCGTGTGAGGGCCGTCACAGTGCAGTTTGGTGGCCTGACCTTAACAGGCTGGGATTCCTGCAGGGCAGGCAGAGCCCAGGGCCCGGAGCCTGCAGAAACCCTGGGCTCCCCCTCGGAGTCCCAGAGCGTCCGGCTGCTGAGAAGCTACCCCCGCTGCAGCTGAGCCCACCGAACCACCACCTTGAATGTGGCCCCAGGGAGGGAGGCCTCCACCTCAAGGCCCCTCCAGGTCTCCCACTTCCAGGAATCACTGTGCTCAGGTTCAAGGCCTTGCTGGAGGCTGGAGGGGGGCAGGTGGCCATGTCCTGGGCTGCCCCTCGTGGGGCTACCCACCACCTCCAGCAGAGGCACGGGCTGAGGACATGGCTGGCCGCAGGGAGTAGTCTTAAGGAAGAGCTCTCCCTGGGACCCAGTAGTAGGCAGAACGGGGAGGCTCCCAAGGCAGCCCCTCGGGGTGTGATGTCAGCCACTGTCCCCACTGCATTGGCTGAAGGGGGTCAGATGTCCTCTCGACGTTTCGAGGCCTGACTCAAAGGCTGCCGCTTCCACGCAGCCCTCCCTGACTGCCAAGGTGGAACTAGCCCTTCCTTCCCCAGGGCTTCCCTTCACTTTGACATTCATCACAGTGGACTCTCACTGTCTGGTCCATGTCTGTGTCCCCAGCTGGGCTGTGAGCCCCTGCCAGGCAGGGCCTAGGTCCATCTCCAGGTCCCCAAAGGCTACCTGGGGCCTGACCTGTAGTGAGCACATGGGTGGAGCCTGTCTAACCCCCTGTGCTAAGGTGGGGACAGAAGGAAATGACAGTCTGTGGCTGGAAGGGAACTGGAGGCCGGGCCCCCTGGCCCCCAGCCTGGGGCTCTGTGCCTGTGCCTGAGGCCAAGGGCGGTTGGATGGGGTCGGTGCTCCCTCCTGGGTGGCCTGGCGGACACGGCCACTGCGGGCAGGACTCCACCAAGCCACACAAAGCGCCTCTTCTGCTAAGGTCCCAGCTCCCCTGGGCCGGAGCTGGTGGGAGGGCAGGCACTGCCGGAATGTGCTGAGCCTGCTGGCTCGGTGCTGCCCCCTCCAGGAAGCCCGGCCGGACACCCAGCGGCCTGTGCCTCCTGCCCCCACGTCTGTGGTCCTCACAGCCCTTCTCAGGCTCCTGCCTTGGCTGCTTCCCCTCGACACACGCAGAGGCGGTGCAGGAGGAACACAGGACACGCGGCTCTGAGTTACGCTGAGCACCCCAGGCCTCGGTCTCTGCCTCTGTGAAATGGGCTAAGACCCGTGCTTCCTGGGGTCACTGAGAACTCGAGGAGGAACCTGGAGCAGCACAGAGAGGAGTGCAGGCTCGGGAGCCAGGCTGCCAGGTAGGGCTGTGGGGCTCAGGCGAGTTACTCAGCCCCCCGTGCCTCAGTTTCCCCAAGTGTTCAGTGGCTACAACAATGGAAGCTTCTTCACAGGGTTGTGGGGTGATCTAGGAGTCAGGCAATGGAAACTCTCGGGACAAGCCCAGCACAGGGTGAGGACATGCGGCAGCTGGTGCCTGGTACACAGAGGGAGGGTCGTGACCTGCACAGGGCCTGACACACAGCGGGCCCGTAGCAAGATGTGCCGGTTTGAGCTGCGTTCCCCCCATAATTTGATTTCTCTCTACACCAACTCACTCCTGCCGGGAAGTGTACACACAGTACTTGTCACCCCCAGCCCATGGGCACAGGGAGCCCAAGGGTTCCGGGACCGGGCACATCCTGCCAGGGCTCTGGGCCTGGCAGAAGGAGACAGCGGCCGGCCAGGACCTCCCTCTCCTTGCTGGGGCCCGAGCTGGGCAGCGAGACCAGCTGTGACTTGTGGGCCTGCCCCTAGAAGGGCAAAGGGGGTGTGCTCTGGAGTCGGGATGCCCTGGGTTTGAATCCCACCTCCACCCCTTACGTGCACTGTGGCTATGGACACGTTGAGGGCCATCGCTGCGTTGTTCCCCATCTGTGAAATGGGTACAGTGACCCAAAGGCCTCACAGGGTAGGTATGAGCATTAAAAGAGAAAATTTGCCCAGAAGGCCCCGCACCAAGCCTGGGCCCCAAACCCTGGCAGGGAGCCCACATCCGCTGGTCCTCCAGGCGACAGCTTCCAGCTCTATCTCTTCCCCCGGGTCTAGGCCAGCTCCCCTCCGGTCCTCAAAGATCCTGATGGGGGTTCTCCCAGGATGCTAGGACAGGGTTCACGGGGGCCAGAAGCCCTCGTGGGCAGTGAGGTGAAGCAGAGGCCTTCTCCCAGACATCCCTCAGCCCTCCTGGGCCCCAGCAAGATGGGGGGCAGATGCTCTTCCCAGCAGGGTCCCCTCCCGGGGTCAGATCTCAGCCCTGCTGCCCTCGAGGCATTGCTTCTGCCCCTCTGGACTCTCTCGACCAGAAGGGCCACACCACCCACCCATAGCCCCAGGTGGAGCCCATGTAAGGCCACGGCTCCCAGCGGCCACACCCGCGAGCAGCGTGGCCCGGCACCCGGTCCCGGCAGCGGCCACCAGACTCACCTTCGTAGAAGCGGATCTTGTCCCGCAGGATCACCATGCCTTTTGTCAACAGCTGGTTCTGCAAGGCACACGTGGAGATGCTGTCACCGCCCCAGGGGTACCCAGGGCCCCCCAGGCTCCGCCAACAGGCAGCCGAGGCCCAGAGGGGGAAGGACTCACCGACATCCCAGTCCAGTCGTTGCGGAGCTGGAACCTCAGCTCCCCGGGCGCACGTGGGCAACTGACCCAACCAGGCTGTCCCAGATGGGAGGTGGTGCGGGGACCCCACCCTCACTGCCCCCGAGAGACAGGCCAGGCCTAAGCCTCCTGTTTCAGGCTCAGCGGGCGGGCAGGCAGCTGCCCCTGCATCCCACAAGGAAGGAGGGACTTTCGGGCAAGAGGGGCCCCGGGACCAAAGGCCTGGCTTGAGCGCTGCCATCACCCACTGCCATGAGGCTCCAACGGCAGCCCCCCTGCACTCTCACCCTGGGCGTGGCTGAGTGACACCCCGTGGTCTCAGCAGCAGTCATAGCAGCCCGAGAGTAGAAACAACCCGGGGACCACAGACGGACGGACGGATAAGCAAGACGTGGTCTCGCCGCACTGTGGAATACTATTTGGCCGTAAAAAGGGATGAGGTTCTGATACAGGCACAACATGGGTGAACCTCGAAAACTCTGTGCTCAGCGAGAGAAGCCAGACACAAAAAGCAACGCGCTGTGAGATCCCACTGACGTGAAATGTCCACACAGGTAAATCCAGAGACAGAAAATAGACTAGTGGTGACCTAGGGCTGGGGGAGAGGGCAAGGGGGGTTACCGATCTATAAACATGCGGTTTCCTTTTGGGGTGATGAAAAAGCCCTGGCATTAGCAGTGACGGTTGCCCAACTCTGTGAATACACTGCATACCACTGAATTGCACACTTTCAGTGGGTGTGCAGCACGGCTAGGTGAATTACACCTCAATAAAGCTGTTAAATTAAAAAAACCAACCCTAAACCCACAGGATGGGAGGAGCCGCAGGCTGGTCCTCACTTCGCCCTCCCCCGGGAGGGTGGGCACCGTGCTCCGAGGCTGCGTGAGGACGCCCCTGCCTGCAGCATCTCCGCCTTCCTGCCTGTGCGACCTCGGGGGTCCTCTCCCCTCCCCGAGCCCCAGGGTTCCATGTGTTCATCCACTTTGCAAGCCTGTGGCCGCAGCGCCTGGGACAGCTCAGCCTCGGCGACACTGGTGCCATGCTAACATCGTCACCACGCGTCTCAGGGCCCTGGGGTTTGCAGATGACCCACCCGTGGGCTCTGGGGACCCACCCCGATGCTCCAGGAGGAGGTGGACAACTAATCACAAAACTGACCTCGAGCCGCGCCACGTGCCAGGCAGAGTGGTGAGTCCTCACCTGCATCTCATCGTATAACCTACCCAACAACCCACACTGGCTAGATGGGGGAAACTGAGTCATGGCCAGGTGGAGACCTTGAACCCAGAGCTCCACGTACCCACCGGGAGCCAATGGCCCCTACCCCCGCCCTTTCTGGCCAGCTCAGGAAGCAAACCCTCAGGAGAGCACAGAGCACCCACCTGTAGGTACTCCGTGAAGAAGGACCCCAGCTCCGTCTTCAGCAGCTGCCTGTGGGCGAGAGGGCAGGAGTCAGAGACCCCACGGTGCCAGTGAGGGCTGGGGGCTGCCTGCAGCGGGAGACCCACCCCTTAGCCCAGTGACGTGAGGACGTGACTAGATATTTCTCCGAAGATACACAAATGGCCAATAAGCACGTGGGAAGATGCCCCATCGTGTAACCAGGGCGACACGAACCCAAACCCCGAGATGGCACTCCACCTGCACTAGGGCTGTTAGAATCAAAACCCCAGGCGGAAAAGAAAAAAGCCGGGCAGTAACAAGTGTCGGTGAGAATGTGGGGAAATTGAACCCTCACTCACGGCTAGTGGGAACGTAAAATGGTGCAGTCTCTGTGCCCAACAGCTGGGCGGTTCCTCAAAAGATTAAAGGTAGAGCTGATATATGACCCAGTCATTCCGCCCCAGGTGCAGACCCGAGAGCAGTGGAAACGCAGATCCACACGAGGTCTCCTACACAGATGCTCCCAGCGGCGCTGTTCACAGCCGCCAAAAGGTGGAAACAACCCAAATGTCCGTCAACAGATGACTGGATAAACACAGCGGTGTTTTTCACACAATGGGGTATTCTCTGGCCATAAAAAGAAACGAAGCGCTGACACCTGCCCCAGCCTGGACGACCCCCGAGTGTGGAGGACCATCACGCTGTGAAAGAAGCTAGATGCAAAAGGCCACACGTACGCAGTACGACTCCATTTATATGAAATGTCCAGGATGTGCAAATCCACGGAGACAAAGTTGACTGGTGTCGGCCAGAGGCTGCTGGGGGAGGACGGGTAACCGGGAGAGACCGTTAAGGAGTACAGGCTTTTTTTGGGGCGGGTGAGGAAAATGTTCTGGAATTAAATAGTGATAGTTATACCAGCTTCTGAACGTACTAAAAACCACTGAACTGTACATTGTAAAAGGATAAACTGTATCTTAAAAAAACAAAATCTATATCTATTTGGTGGTGGCCTGGGGCTGGGGGGAGAGGAGAATGGGGACTACCGGTCTATAAATATGGGGTATCCTTTTGGGGTGATGAAAAAGCCCTGGATTTAACAACAGTTGCACAACTTTGTGAATACACGAAACCACACACACGCTCACACACACACACGTGTATAAAATGGCAGAAAACATGAATGACGGCCAGATATCAGAGCCTTGTTACCCTGCACCATCCCCGGCCCTTCTCATGGCTGGGCAAAGCCGAGGGATGCAAAGGCATATTAGGAACATGGGGTTCCTGGGGCCCCACCCGAGTGGCCACATGAGCCCAAAAAAAGCAGGACCCCCTGCAGCGGTCACACACATCAGGCCTGGGAGAGGCTACAAGCCCCTGCTGTGACCGCAGGCAGCCCCTTTCCCTCCCTGGGCCTCGGTTTATCTGTCTGTAAGGGCCATTTAGGGTTGGAGTGGGGGGACCCTGCCCCAAGCTGATGAGGAGGTTTGCATATTCTTTTGCTGTAGGGACAGGGTGGCACAGGCCAGGGCGTGAGGGAAAGAGCACAGAGGTGGGAAATGCCTCCTAGCGGCAGCTGTGACCCCGGGCAAGTCTCTCGACCTCTCTAAGCTCCAGCCTCCTCCACTAAAACGCAGGACTAATGCCTCGGCTTCGCAGATTCCCTCAAAGCTGGTCCATCCTGGGCCCCTTCACAGGTGCTCAATTCTCAGCTATTCACAGGAAATGAGGGGTATTCGGCGGGGCTGTGATTGCTTTTCTGGGAACAACACTCCCATCATTAGGCAGGTGGGTCCTTCCTCTTTTTTTTTTTTTTAACTTTATTTATTTTTGGCTGCGTTGGGTCTTCGTTGCTGCGCGCGGGCTTTCTCTAGTTGTGGCGAGTGGGAGCTACTCTTTAATGCGGTGCACGGGCTTCTCATTGCGGTGGCTTCTCTTGTTGAGAAGCACGGGCTCTAGGTGCGTGGGCTTCAGTAGTCGTGGCTCACGGACTCAGCAGTTGTGGCTCGCGGGCTCTAGAGCGCAGGCTCAGTAGTTGTGGCGCACGGCCTTAGCTGCTCCGTGGCACATGGGATCTTCCCCGGGCCAGGGCTCGAACCCGTGTCCCCTGCGTTGGCAGGCGGATTCTTAACCACTGTGCCACCAGTGAAGTTCCAGTCCTTCCTCTTTTAACAGAACAAATACGCTTTGTGATGCTTAACACCAGCGGGGCATGTGGGCGTTATCCTGAGCCACTGTCCCAGTCCCTCCCTGTTTCCCCTGAAAAGGAGTCTTCAGGAGGGTGGGGGTGAAGGCCACAGGACAGGGCCTGGGGTCAAGGTCCACGTGGTGGTCACCGCCCACCTGGGCTCCAAAGGCAGAACCTGAGGCTGGTGGACCCACGGGGTGGGGGGGGCAGGCCTCCCACCTGGCACAGCCCTCCCACCACTTACAGACCCAGGCCTGGATGGGACAAACGACCACTCACCGGACGCCCTCGTTGAGGCTGAAAAGCTCCTGGTCGGGCAGCCCCTTGCGCTGGAAGACGGCAATCACCCCGTTGTGGATGCTGCGTGGGGGACGGAAGAAGAGCGCTGCTGTCCAGAGGCCCTAAGACCCCTCCCCTCCTTCCCTCTCCCACTGAGCCCCTCCTGCTCTCCTCGAGGAACAGAAGGGGCCCGGTCAGAAGCAGGGCGCCAGTCCTTTCGCTTCGAAGGCAGGCCTGGAGCACAGGGACTGGCCGCCCCATCGGACCCCATCCGCCCCAGAGCCTCAATTCCCATCTTGAGCTCCAGATCCTGGGCTCCCAGCCCCAGCCTCCCTGGAGCCCCAGGCCTGCCACCGGTCACCTCTCCAGGCTGTCACTGGGTTACCTTCCACACACTCTGCCTCCCTTCCCATGTTCTTGAACCCTCTGCCTCCAGGCTGGAAACTAGGGGACACCCTCTGATGGTCTCTCGCACCCCCAAACATAACCAAGTCCAACTGGCTTTCTCACCCTGTGCTTCCAGGTGCCTGTGAGCCAGCGCCTGCCTCACTGAACTGGGTACCTGTGTTATCTGCACCTGGCCCCACTGGGGAAGCTGCCCTCACCACAGGACCTTTGCACATGTCCTTTCTTCTGCTTGGTCCCCACCCTCACCCCCCACGCCTGTCTACGTGGATCCTTCCTTCAGGTCACAAGAGGTCACAGCGTTTACAGCACTTGTCAGTGTGCACCTACATGTTTATCCGGGACTCGTTTGACTGATTGGTTCCCACGGCCATCTATAAACCTCGGCGCACAGGGCCCTGTGCCGTCTATGACTGTGTGCTCTCACCTGGCTCAAAGGAGCAGCCTGGTAGTTATCTGGTGAAATGCACCCTGACTCTCCCTGGCCCTCCAGGTCCTACAGACCCTGAAGCCCCAACAATCTCTACCCGCTAGATCTCTGCTGCACGCTTCTCTCTCCTCCATGCTCGCCTGGCCTCTGATCGCACAGGCACCTCCTCATGCACTCAGTGCCCCCTGCCCTAGGCCCTGCAGGTACAGCCCAAGGCCTGAATGTGGCATTCAAGGCTCGGCTGGAATGGCCCCTCCCCGCATTCTCGGGCACCCAATGCTCACAGAGTACTGGAGCCGCCAGGGGAGCCATACCTCAGGGTCTCTGTACCCACTGCCCTTCCTACCTGGGGCGGGGGCGCCTTATGCTATCTACTAGGCAAGGAGCTATTCATACTGGAGCCCTGGCTCAGAGGCCACTGCCTCCAGAAGCCCTCCTGACCGCCTCCCTTCCCCGTGCAGACTTAGGTCCTGGCACTCTGCCGATTTACTTTCATGTTAGCCCTCACCACCGGCCATAAGCTCCCAAGGGGGAGAACCAGGTCTGGGGGGTCCACCGCCCTCCACTCAGGACTGGGTTTCTGCTCTAAACTCACCACTGCAGACGAGCTGTGTGATTCTTGGTGGACAGGGACAGCTGGACACGTGCTGCCGTTCACATCATGGAGTAGGTGGGGGCCACCAAGCTCCTGCTGCCCCTGTCTGCTCTCACCAGCTCCACCCTTCCCAGCAATGTGGACTGGCCACCCACTTTGCAGATGAGGAAACTGAGGCTCAGAGGGACCAAGCTCTGGGAGGCCACAGAGCTCGCCCAACCGCTGCCCCCTCTCCGCTGCTCCCCCACGGAGCCAGATGTGGCAGGGCTTCCAGTTCCGCACCCTGGAAGGGGCAGGGCAGGGGCAGGGCCCCGCACCCCAGGTGGGTGAAGGCAGCTCTGAGCAGTGCAGGGACGCGCCCCAGGGGTCCACAGCTGGTCCCGACCAGGCCAGGCCAGAGGCCTTGTCACCTGACCCGACGACGCCTGACTACCCAGGCACCTGGTGTTGAAATGTTGCTTATTCGCACGTCCAGGCACACATGCCCTCTAACTTCTGTTTCCTGCCTGTGAAATGGAGGCCGCGAATGTGCCCACCCCCAGGTTGCTGTCAGGACGAAAGCCCGGCCGGCGCCGAGCCTTGGTGTGTGGTCACGGCCGGGACTGTGCTCGGCTCTGTCAGAAGTGCCTGGTGAGGGCTTCCCTGGTGGTGCAGTGGTTGAGAGTCCGCCTGCCGATGCAGGGAACACGGGTTCGTGCCCCGGTCCAGGAGGATCCCACGTGCCGCGGAGCGGCTGGACCCGTGAGCCATGGCCGCTGAGCCTGCGCGTCCGGAGCCCGTGCTCCGCAACGGGAGAGGCCACAGCAGTGAGAGGCCCGCGTACCGCAAAAAAAAAAAAAAAAAAAGTGCCTGGTGGGCCCCGGTGAACAGTCACAGTAAGGCTGTTCCCCGTTTACAGTCTGACGGGAAGTCTAACGGCTGCCACCCTGAAATCCTAACAGATGCGGACTCGTGCCCAGCCTGGGGGCTGCTGGGGGCAGAGGTCAGACCCTCCCAAACCTGCAGGAGCCTGGGAGCTGACAAATGGGGAGTCCTGAGCATGGCCCCGGGGGCCCGGCCCCTCCTGAGGCTCAGAGGGGCCTTGCCAAGTCCTCCCTGGGGACCAGGCCTCCACCAGGCCGAGGGGACAGCGTGGGGGACCCTCGTCAGCCTCCCAGGCCTGGCCCTGCTCTTCTCACCAGCCTTTCCAAGTCCCTCCTCCCTCCTCCTCCAGTAAGCCTTCCGGAGGGAGCGCAGCCCACTCTGGTCCCCGGCCCAGAGGCACCTTAAGCCACAGTTCTGGATGGGAAGACGGGCTCTTTGGACAAGTCTTTCCCCGAGGCCCTCAGGGGTCCATCGCCATCTGTGTCACTTGAACCGTCCCGCCCCTGGGTCTGAGCAGAGCTGGCCTCCTCCTGCCTCAGGGCCATCATCCTTGCTGTTCCCTCTCCCTGAGGCTCACTGTGACGTCAGGTCCCTCCCCGCTCACACCTGTGTGCAGAGAGCATTTGATCCTGGCTCCTCTGGGGGGAGGGGAGGTCTATTTGGTTTACCACTTAGGCCCGGCTCCCCCCAGCCCGGGTCTCGCACCACCCTACGTGTATCTGAGCGGCGCCCCGGCCAGCCCTAGGGTCACCCTTGAGTTCTCCTATCCACACCCCCACCCAGCCCGGCCTCCACCCTGGTGGACCCTGCCCCTGCCCTTCCCACCTCCAGCCCTGAGGCTCGTTCAGGTGCGGGCCTGGGGTTGAATCCCAGCTCTGGGCTTCCCTGCTGCCCGCCTCTGGAGACTGGACCGTGAGTGCCTCAGCTTCCCCCTCCATACAATGGGACTCAATCACAGCCCTTGTGGGGTTACGTGCGCCATGGCATCATCAGCAGTGCCTGCGGCGGGGGGCAGGATATGTGCCCCTGGAAGCATCCCACGGCTCAACCATCCGCCCCGGGGTTCCTCCATCTCCTTCTAACCACACCATGAGGTGGGGACTGTGACAGCCCAGGCTGCAGAAGGAAACACTGAGGCTCAGAGAAGCCAGCGGACGGCCCGGAGTCACACAGCTCGATGCCCGGCAGGGCCAGAAGGGAGCCCGGGGCCCACCGTCCTCCTGCCCCCCACAGCTGCTCAACCTGGGGTTGGTGGACAGGCAAGGCCCCGCTCCTTCCCGTTTCTCTGCAGCCTTCTTTCCAAAGTCCAAGTTGGGTCAATAACAAAGCCCTGCTGTGAGCCGTGGGAGAGAGAGGAGGAGGGGTGGGGAGAGGAGAGGCCCTCATGTGACTTATCCCCCCAAACAGAAGTGAAACTCCGGCCCGGGGCCTCCCACACCGAGGCCCAGCCGGGGGCACTGGGAGCAGCCCCTGGAAACGGCAGGCGCCCCGGGGCACTTCTGGGTGAGGGCCGAGCAGCAGCTGACCCATCACCTCCTCTCTCCGGGCCTGTCGCTCTGCCCCATGTAGGGAGACAGGAGGGCAGTGACAAGTCTCAGCATCTGTCACCTGAGCACGGGCTGAGGGGAGATGCCCGGGACCCTTAGTGGGGACCCACGGCATGCAGGACGGTGCCAAGGCCTGCTGCCACCAGGGGGGCCGGGGGCCCTGTGGTCAGGCTTGGGGAGGAAGGGCTGATGGTGAGGCCTCTGGGGGGACCTGCCTGTAGCAGCCCTGGCTCGGCTGGGGCCGGTGTGGTGCTGCGAGCAGGTGGGACCCCAGCGGGGCGGGTCCCTGGCCCACCTGCCCACACAGGAAGGTCCGGCAGAGAGTGCGTGGGGGACCCCAAAGCCTGGCCTCTGGGGGGACAGACAACACACCTCCGGGAACCCTCGGAGAGGCGGAGAGGCCTAGAGGTGGAGCTCTGCCCTTTCTCAGGCCCTACCCTGCTCTGGCGCTGCCTCTGGAGCCTCAGAAATCAGAGAGGGGGGCAGGCCTCCGCCAGGTGCCCTCCTCACCCTCTCACTTAGTGTCCCCAGAAGGGCGACCCGGACCCCGAGAGGGGCTAGCACTTCCTCGAGCCCCTCCCCCTGCTGTCGAGGCCTGGCTCTTTCTCAGGAGCTGGCCTGTGGGCACGGGTGGGCGCGGGTGGGCGGAGGCGCTGGGCTCCACCGGTGTGCCCGCCTGGGCTCCCACCCCGGACGGCCCAGGCTCTAGTCCCCCCTCTGCCCTGTCCATCCAAGGGTGATCAACCCTTGGGTCGATAACAAAGCCCTGCTGTGAGCCGCCGGAGAGAGGGGAGGCGGGGTGGGCAGAGGAGAGGCCCTCATGTGACGTATCCTCCCAGACAGAAGTGCAACTCGGGCCCAGGGCCCCCAACATCCTCATCATTACCCCAGGGGCCCACGGCCGGCCCTGAGAGATGAAGCCCTGCTCCGCTCTGCCCCGGTCGCCCCGGGGGAGGCACCCACGGGCCTCCTCTTCACGCCCAGTGAAGGCACAGGGGAGGCAGGCGACTCGGAACCCAATCCGACCCCCTCCGGGCCTCAAGGTGACCCTCTGGCAGATGCGGGTACTGAGGGCACCACTCTCAGGCCTGCGGGCCGTTCCCACGCTCACCCTGCTTTCAGTGCCCTGGCCCTGGCTTACACGGCCCCCAATTCCCAGCCCTGCTCCTCCCTGGGCTCCAGGCAGGAACTCAGAGCTTTTCTCCAGAGCCCCACCTGCCCAGGGAGGCAGACGCCTGACTGTGCTGACCCCCCGTCCCGACAGGCTGCAGGGGGACAGCGGGGTGCCCACGCCGCCCCATGGCTGCCTGGCCGTACAGTCCCACCCGTGCAGCTGGAGGGCAGGTTCTGGACGCTGGGCTGGGGGCCGGGAGGTGGAGAGCGGATGGCTCTGAGCCCCGACTGCTGGGAGAAGTGAGGGCCCAGGGCGCAGGGCGGGGAGGGAGGGAAGCCCAGCACACGAGTGTCCTCTGGCTGCTGTAACCAAGGCCCACACACAGCGGCTGCAAGGCAGCCAAAGGCTGGCTTTTGACAGCTCTGCAGCCAGAAGCTGTGTCAGTGCCACAGGGCTGGAATCAAGGTGCGGCTCCTTCACGGCTCCGGGCGAGAGTCTGCTTCCCGGCCTTTTCCAGCTTGGTCAGGACTCCTCCCTCCATCCTTACAGCCAGCAGTGCGGTGTCCTCAGCCTCTCGGTTCCCATCCTCACGGCTCCTTCTTGAACTCTGACCCCTGGGCCTCCCTCCCATTAGCACCCTTGTGGTGACACTGGGCCCACCTGGACCATCTCCCCATCTGAGGATCACTTACTTAATTACATCTGAAAAGTCCCTCTTGCCGTGTAAGGGAACGTATTCACAGATTCCCAGACATCTTCGAGGGCCGTGACTCTGCTGGCCACTCCCAGACCGCCTCAGAGCGGCAGGGGGCTCAGGACCCAGGCCCGACTCAGAGTAAGTTGTTCGTGAGGGTTGGCCGGGAAGCCAAGCACCGGCCCCCCACTAACCTCCACCCCCCAACTCCCAACCAACCGGTCACCCTGAGGGCTTCAGCCAACCTCCTCCGGCCCCTGAGACCCCATGAGGCGGTGGCAGAAGCTCTGGACTTAGACCTGGGCAGTGCCCACACCTCTGGACCTCAGTATCCCCATCTGCAAGATGGGAGTAGCAAGTCCCACCTTGAAGGCCGTTGCAGGGATGAAAGCAGCTTCTCCACGCCTGGGGTTGGGACAGGGCCCGGCACAGGTCGGGGTTGGTGGGCACCGCCGTCCGGGGGATAGAGCAATCACAGGCCCGGTGCAGGACGCCCTGTGGGCTTTGGCCAGCAGTGGCTCCGTCCAGGACCAGGGACGAGCAGACGAGGAGGGAGGGCTGCACCTCGGGCTCTCACCACCAACCCCCGCCTCGCCCGGCCCCAGCAGACACCAACTCACACGTGTCCCTGGGCAGCGGCTTCAAGTCAGGCCAGGGTTCAGACTTAACGTGAGCAGGGGCTCTTGGCCAAGTCCCTCTCCTTCTCTGGCCTCAGTTTCTCTATCTGGATGCTAAGGACCATCAGCCCAGCCTCGGAGGTGGTCCCGTGGGAACGAGAGGGCGCACGCTCCACCTGTGCGGGGCCTCTGCTCTGACAGCCAGAAGGCGGGTGGGTGCCAGGCTCGCCAAGCCCCAGGCATTCGGGCAGATCCAGGCCTGGCAAGGAGTAGGGCTCCATAATGGTGTATACCCTCTGGCCCAAACGCGGGTACAGGGGACTCCTGCCCGCCCCCCAGCGGGCCCCTCAGCTCAAGAACACGACCTTCGTGCAGCTGGAGGCCTTGCACACGCGTGGGGTGCACACGCGGCGAGGAGCTAACTGGGGCCAACACAGGGACAGACAGGGACACAACATGCCATGCCCGGGCCCTTCGGGAGGGAGGGGATCAGGGGCTCCAGGTGGGAGTGACAGGTGAGCCTTCTAAGCCAGCCCTGTGCCCTCCCCTCTGCAGTGCCCTGGGCCGGGCACAGGGGGTAAACCCGTCCCGTAAAGCAGCAGCAGGGGCTTAGGAAACAGCTTCTGACGGTTCTGTTCTAGTTTCCGGTTTGTGAGTGTGGCCCAGCCGGCCGGCAGCCCGGCTCCCAGCACTCAGACCTGCCCTGCGCACGTGCAGAAGGGAGCCCGGGCCCCCTCTGTGTGTGGTCAGCACCCGCGCTCCCCCGGCTTATCCACCTCTCAGCGCTCAACACCACCTGCTCGGACCAGTGCCGGAGAGCGAATGAATGAACGAATGAATGAGTGGCTAGGTGAGTGCACGGATTCCACTATCACAGGAGCAAGCTATGTATTTTGCCCCAAGTCCAGATGAGGAAACAGAGGCAAAAGGAATTTAGGGGATGGACCCAGGGTCCACTGTAGTGGGTTGAATAGTGTCCCCTAGAAATTCACGTCCACCTGCTACCCCAGAGCTTATGTGGAAACAGGGTCTTTGCAGATGTAATTGGTTAAGAATCTTGAGACCAAGTCATCCTGGATTTGGGGTGGCCGCTACATTAGGGGGCCCAATGACTTTCTAAGAGAAAGGAGAGGGAGGTTTGGACACAGAGAAGGTGGCCAGATGAAGAGAGAATCGGAGAACGGGGTGATGCAGCCACAGGCCAAGGAGCCACTGGGAGCTGGAAGAGGCAGGAAGGAGCCTTCCCTGGAACCTCCAGAGGGAGCGAGGCCCTGGCGACACCCTGATGTGGGGCTTCTGGCCTCCAGCGCTGTGAGAGAACGAACCTCTGTGGTTTTAAGCCACAAGTTTGTGACAATTTGTTACGGTTGCCCCGGGAAGCTAACGTGGTCACGTGGAAAAAGGGGGTTCATCTTGGACTCAAAATAAGGAGTCTGCAACCTAGCAAGGCAGGACCTGTACTGTCCCGCCCCCCAAGGCTGTGTCCTGGGGGGCCCCGGCAGGGAGGACTGCGAGGATCGGGGCTGGGCAGCTAGGCAGCGACCAGAAGAGGCCCCGACCTCCCCGTGGTACCTGCGGAACGCTGGAGGGGAAGGCACTGCCCCTCCCTGGCTCAGGGCCCCCTCTGCCCAGGGAGAGCGGTGGCTCTGCTCTGCGGCGTCCACACGGGCAGGCTTCCTGGTCCTCTCTGCGTCCCCCTCTGCACCTCTATATGGGGCGTGGTAGTCATAACTCCCTCCCTGGGCTACGAAGGGCACCAAGGGCCACGAAGGGGCCCGGCACGCAGGAGTGCAGCATGGCAAGCGGGGCTCGTGGGTCCAAGGGCTGGGCGGCTCGGGGCCTTAGAGACGCCGGCTGTGGGCCGGGCCGCTGCCCTGCAGTCTGCCCGGCCAAGGCACAGGATGGCACTGAAGTTTGAAAGTTCCTTTAAGTGAGAAGCAGTGGGGGGGACCCAGGCGGCCTCTCCCTACAGGCACCTCCCTGAGCTCCAGAAGACTCCGAGCCTACCCCAGGGTGCCCCCACCTCTGCCTGGAGAACCCCTCGGCAGGAGAAAGCTGCTGGTGGTGAAAGCTCAGGGACCAGCAGACGCCTGAGGGGCCCCCCCCAAACCCTGTCCCTACAAGCCCTCCCTGACACGAGTTTGTCCCCAGCACGAGTTTGAGCTTGAAATATAAGTTACGGAGGCCCTACCACGTGCCAGGCACGTGCTGAGGACTTCAATACAGATCTTCACATTTAATCCCCACAATGGCCCATTTTACAGAAAAGGAAATTAAGGACCAGGGAGGCTAAACAGCTTGCTCAAGGACACGCAGCAGGGAAGAGGCAGAGCTGGGATTTGAACTAAGTCTGTTTGGCTCCTTGCGCTAAACCACGGCAGAGAAACGAGGAGGGAGACTGCTTCTCTCCGCAGTTCTGCGAGAGGAGGAAACGCCTCTGAAGGCAGTGTGCAGTCACTGAGCTGATGATATTACCCAGCGAGAGTCCTTCCTTCTCTGTCCCCACACCGGTCCTGTAAGAAGGAATGTGCACGCCCGCTGACCGATAGGGAAACTGAGGCAGGCTCGTCCCAGCACTCAAGCAATTCGCAACTTGGCAGGGGGCAGAAGACAAGCACGCGACTGGACGACGGTGTCCTGCCTAGTGCACAGAGGAGGGTCTCAGGCTGGAAGCCCTGTGCCCACCATGACGCTCATGAAACGACTGATGGACAGAATAAATGAGTGTCCACACTGACAGCTGGTTTTCCGATGGCCAAGACCACAGACGGTGGAGCATCTGGCAGGGTTTCACTGCCGGGTGTGTGCGGTGACGGGGGCACAGCCCCCTGGATAGCCTGCCCTACTCTCTTCTCCTGCCCTCCCATTTTCCTTTTGGTGGAAATATCTATTGTTGAAAAGGGCTCATGAGCAAACACGGTGGGGAATCCCACTAAATAAATCGTCTCTTTTCCGGAGATCCCAGCCTTGCTCTTCAAACCAAGTGGGAGGGAGTGGTGGGACTTCCCACGCCCCTGCTTGTCTCGGAAGGGCCCGCGGGGGGAAGGTCGTCTAAAGAATGCCGGGCAGCTGCTGCACCCCTGCTGACAGCTGGGAGGGCAGGGGGCCGCTCAAGGGAAAACCACCCGCCCACTGCCGACCAAAGGGACCTAAACGCAGAACAGGAAGCGCAGCGGCAACCCACCGACTGCGCCCGCGAGGCTTATCTGCGAAATGGGATAAATACTTCCTGCTCTATTTACCTCCCAGGTTGCCATGAGCACTGGAGCGAAGACGTGGGAAGACCCCGGGGGGAGGGCGGGGGAGGCTGGCTCTCGGGATCCAGGCCCACCCCACCACCCACCAGCTGGGCGCGTTGGGACCAGCCCCGGGTCTGCGGTCTCGTCCCTCCGTTCTAGATACACGTTGCACTAAACTTCCCTTCCCGTCCGCACAACTCCGGCGGAGCAAGTTCTCTACAAACTGTAAAGTGCCGCGCTGCCCCCCAGCACAGTTCCTCGCTGGGGGCCGGCCCTCGCCCGCGGACCTGCTCCAGGGCTCCCCCTTCCCTGGCTCTGGCACCCGGGGCCAGCGGCCCGCGGGCCGGCCGGGAGGGCGCGGCCTTACCTGTTCCAGGTGGCGTTGGCGCAGGCCCGGCGCTGCTGCGTGCCCCGCTCGTCCGCGGCGGCGGCGGCCGGCTCTCTCTTGCCCAGGTCACTGAGGCTGGGCGAACTCATGAACTTCAACCTGCGGAGAGTCCTCATGGTGACCCCGGCAACAGACTCCGCGCCCACGCGCGCCCGGCACCTCGCCCTGCGCCACGCCGCGCCGCGGGCCCCGGCCGTTGCGGCGCCCTCTACGAGGAGACTTGGGCAAAAGCAGGAAGCCGAGCGGCCCTCCAGGGTCCCGCCCCGGCCCCACGCCTCCGCCCCGGGCCCCGCGCCGGCCGCCCCGACAGGTTAATCATTGCTCGGAGCGGCCGCAACGTGGAGCTCCCAGAGCGCTGCCAGTAGCGCGGACTCGGCGCTAACGGGCCCGGGGGCGGGGTTCAGGGCCGGAGGCGGGGTTCAGGGCCGGAGGCGGAGCATGGTAGGCCCCGGGGGCGGAGCAGGAGAGGGGCGGAGCCGAGGCGGGGCCTCAAGAAAGAGGGCGTGCGCAGAGGCGGGACCAAGCGGGGCGGGGCCACGAGCTGGGGGCGGGGCCGGGGCCTCCGCGGCCTCGGCCGCCGCGTCCCACTCGCTCCGCCCCTCCCCCAGGCAACCCTAGTCCGCCCTCCTGGGGTCGCACTCTGGCCCCCTCTGTCCTTCCAAGGGCCACCAGTGCCCACAGGAAATCAACACGGACGACCGCACAATCCAACCCCAAGCACCCACCCAGCGCCGGCTCCTGCGGCCACACCCACACGGTGCTCAGCTTCGTGTCCGCTCCCAGACCCCTAGTGCTGTGGTTATCTTTCCCCTTCTTGCCATCCCTCCCCACAAAGGCTGTGCCCACACAGATCCCTCAGGACCCCGCCACGTGGACACAGACTCCTCCGTGGTTATCTTGAAGACTGGGTCGAGGTCTTCAGCCCATTTTCCAGTTGAGGAAACTGAAGCTCAGGGGGTGAAAGAACGTGCCCAACGTCATGCAATCGACCAATGGCAAGGCTGGGCCTAACTCAGGCCTCCTGAGCACACGGCAGGGCACCCCTCCAGCTTCCGGGGTCCCCGTGGGGCTCCCTGCCCCCTGCCCCCTCCATCAGACAGAGCAAGACAGTGTTGCCGCCCTCCCCTACTTCCTTCATTTCTTTCCTGAAGCAATGCCTGTGTCACCAGAGCATGGGCCTCATGTCTTCCTATAAATGCTTCCTGCGTGAATCAGAGGGGGAGAGGAGGGGCCGATCCTAGAACCTCAGCATGGGACGTGTGCTCAGAGGTCCCCCAACCATGCTGTACAGAAGAGGGAACGGAGGCCCAGAGGCCACGGGGTTCCCGGGGTCCTCTATGCCAGGGTGTGTGCATGAGATGCTCCTCCCCAAGGGCAGAATCAAAGCACCTGCCCCCCGGGCCTTGTGGGGCTTGCTAATTCAGTCTGACACAGCATAGGTCGACGTTATCGTCCCCACTCGGCGACAGGGATCTGCTCCTCGGTGTGGAGGAGGTGGTGCAGGGGCCTGCCTCAGCCCCCCAGGCTGGGGCTCTTTCTGCTGAATGCCCCAGGCAGGGTGGGTTGCCAAGGCCAGGCCGAGCAGCCAGTGAGCCTCTTTTGTGGCTCCAGGAACCAGGAGAACCTCATATAAGGTGTATGAGACCCTGGTGAGGAGACGTCCAGTGAAATCAACCAGCATTTTCCGAGCACCTACTGCGTGCCAGACATTACCCTCATCCTAGGGGGGCAGAGTCATGCCCGGCAAACCCCCTGACCCTGAGCTCCAAATCGAGGGAACAGAGACCTTTGACTCCCCCAGAACCCATAATCCCCAAGGCCGAGACCTGCGTGACCCGGTGTGAGTGACAGACCAGGAAGGACTGAACTCTCAGTGAAGCCCCTGGTGGTTTCTCGCCCTTTTAGAAACTTCTGTGGACCCCGTCTACTCCTTCCACTTCCACTGTCACCTTCCCAGGCCAGGACAACAGACACTCCCTGACCTCTCTCCCCGGGGCCACACAGGTCACCGGACAAGCCCATCCTCTGGGTGGTGGCTGGAGTGCACACTCACACGCCCCTGTGCTTAGAGCTCCTGTGTGTTCCCACTGCCCCGAGAATCAGGTCCAGAGCCTGGAGTCCAGAGCCAGAGCTTGGAGGGCCTTCCCTGCCTCTCCTGGCTCCCCCTTCTGACTGCCTTCACCCTGGGTTAGGCTCAGGGGTTGCCCTCTGGTCATCTGGTGAGTTTTCCATGCGATGCCATAAGCCAGGAGGGCTGGGACTGTACTAACTGGTTCACCACTACATTCCTGAGCCCAGCATGCAGTAGACACGCAGTAAATATTTGGTCAAATGGACGGATAAGCATCTGTCTCACAGGCAGGAAGGGATTCAATGCTTTGTAAAAGGTGCCACACTGCACAGAGATAGAACCACTGTAACTGCCGCTGGTGTAACTGCAGCAGAGAACCCCCGGGATTGGCTCAGACCCCGGGTGGACGGGATGAAGGATGGTTTCCCAAACTGGAGGCAGACTCGCGGGGGAGGGGCTGGCTTCGTTTGCTTGGCACCCTCGGGTGCGAAACACTCAACCACTGCGAGGGCCTTGCTGGCCAGAGCGGCCAGCTGAGTGCGGAGGGGGGCTGGACTGCTCTGGGTGGGGAATCAAGGGAAAAATGGAGGTGCGCGGTAAGGGCAGCCCATGGTGGGAGGGCAGGAGAAGACAAGAAGAGGAGGGGCTGGGAGAAGAGGCCAGCAAGAAATGCCAGAGGTGGGGACGGCTGAGGGATTTAAAAGCCATGCACACTCAGGGTTAAGGAATTAGCTTTAGCTGCCCCCTGAAGCCAGCTGCAGACTTCTGTAAGATCCGTCTACACCCAACAGCCCAGTACTGGGGGTGTAGTGGAGACCCAGGCGAAGGTGCCGCTGCCCTGTGTTTGGGCTGGCGACAGGCAGGGGGGGGCACGGGGCGGGGAGGGGGGCTGGACAGCCAGGGGAGCAGCCAGCCCCCAGGGCCAGAATCTGAGGCCGAGGCCAGGAGGAGACAAACTCTCCCACCCCCCAAAGCAGGGGGCAACTGGGTGGCCAATGGCCAAGTCCAGCCCTTAAACGTGTTCCGCACAGCCGGCAGTGCGGGGAAAGAAAACAAAAAACCCCAACTGCATGCAGCCAAGGTTTTACAATGGAGAGGCTGACATAGAAACCCTGATTTCTGGCTTCCTGGGAAGCATCAGATGACCGGGCCTCCGGGGCCTGAGGCCCCACGTGACCGCTCTGGCTGAGCTGCTGCCCCGCAGGCAGGCACGGGCCCTCCACTCACTTACAGAGCCTTCCAGGCCAGATGAGGGGTTGGGGATTGAGCAGCGTATGGGGGGAGGGGGGATGCTGCGCTGGGCCCATGTGTGTCTGGCACTCAGGGATGGGAAATGCCCTCCATTCAAGGGAATGGGAGACGGGGGTACCCATCATGCACCCCCAAAGCTGCCAGAGTAACCCTGCCCCGAGAACCGTGCCAGGCCTGACGGCATCAACCATGTCCTCTCCTTCAGGATCCAAACTTCATTCCAACCCCTCCCCGACCAGTGGGGTGTCGGGAGCTGGTACAGGACCCTGGTCACTAAGCGGGACCGCCCCCCGCAGGGCTCTTCCTTCTGCTGGGAGAGGGAGCCCTCGGTTGGGGGGCCAGAACTGGGGTCCACTGGCCCTGCCACCAAGTCAAATGACCTCTAGGGCCTCGGTCTGCCCATCTGTAAGATGCATGGGGTTGGGGGTTGAGGGTTGAGGGACAGGGGAAATGAGACCCCATAAAGCCTTTCAGAGGCCACGTGCTCCCCGTAGATGTGGCAGGAGATGGTGACCTAGGTGTCTTTGGTCCCTGAGGTATGACTGTGCTGAGGAGCTGGCCAGAGGTTTTGTCTTCACGGGCACCGCTCTAGGACTGGCAGTGATCTTTAGGATGGGCTCAAGGCACTGGGACTTTGCATCAGGAAGTCCCCTGGGGCTGGGACAAAACCCCAGTCAGGACCTTTGGGAGTGGGACCTGGGATTTCTCAGGAGCACCTCGGGGACTCTTGCGTGATTCCGTGGGGTCTGCAAACCCCCGAGCCTGGCTCAGCCCCTCACGTCACGGATGGACGGCCTGACGCCTGGGGACAGGACTGCCGTAAGTCCGTGCAGCTCTGGAACCCAGGCCTTCAGACCTCTAGGCCACCGGGGTGAGGACACGAGCGGGGAAGAGACAGCCGCCAGCTCTGTCACCTTCTTGTCCCTCTCTCGGGTGCTGACTTCAGCCGGCCGCTCCCTGCCCGCCCCAGGCCTGCCCACTCTGAGGGGCACGTGCGCCCCCTGGTGGCGAAGGCTGGTGCTCCCCACAGCTGCCTGGGAAAGTCCCTCCTGCTGGTTGGGGACCCCCAGGGCCTGGACACCCAGGCAAGGGCTTGGCAATATGCCGGGCGCAGGGAGCCATGCGGGGAGTGCTCGGTCCATCCCTCCCTTCTCTGGGATGGACAGGGATGGGGACACAACTGCCCCACGATGGGCCGAGGTGGGACGAGACCATTCACGTAGTCGTGGAGTGCACGCCAAGGGCTTGCTTACTGCCGACTGTGACGGTCGCACTGCAGAAAGAGCTTCCTGAGTCAGGGCTAAGCCCACGTCACCCTCGGTGACTCCAGCCTGGTCATCTCCGAACGCTTTGCAACGCGCCGGTTCCGTCCCAAGGCTGCACGGCCAGTCCTCCTCCAAGGCTGGATGGGCGTCGGCCCACCAGAAGCAACATGTGTGGCATTTCGTGACTGGGGGGACTTATAGATGCTCCCCGTGCCAAGCCTGGGTTGGGGGCACCAACACCAAAGGTGGGTGGGTCCTACCCTCACGGTGCTCCGGAGAAAAAGTCCCTTCCAGTGGCTTCAGAGCCAGTGCCAACCGTTATCACCCCGATTTCACAGATGGGGACAGTGAAGCTGAGTGGGGTTAAGCTACCTGCTCGAGCTGTCAGCTAGAAAGTGCGGGAGTGGGGACACTGTGCTGCTGGGGGACGAAGCCCACCTCCCCAGTGCTTTAATAAACGCTGAGAACCTACTACATGCCTGGCGCTGTTCTCGGTGTCGGGAATACAGCAGGGGACAGGAAAGACAGGGTCTCTGCCGTCATGGGGTGAGCTCGCCGTCCCATCCTAGCTCTGTCATCCGACACCCCCTGACATGTTCATGGTCCCCTCAAGTATTCTCTCTACCAGCTGAGCCCCGACTCCCACCCCACGGCCACCAGGACCCCTCCTGGAGCCCCTTCCCCACACTAGTGGTCTCTGTCCTCTGCTCTCAGAACACTCCCCTCTCCTTTCACTCTGGATCCCACTCCTGGGGTGGGTCAGGGGGCTCGGATCAGCAGAGGTCCCTGTTCTTA